TTCAGGTGCTTTGACTCATCGCTTTTTGTCATCCTCTGTCAACGAAAAAGACCTTGGTAAGCTCTACGACATCGCGACCCAAGGTTACTTTCACGACATCCGAGACATGATAAAACGTTATAGGAGAAAAGATAACCAGGTATGTACTGATTTAAAGTGATAACCTCCCTACGGCTCTATAGTTACAGTCAACAATATTAACGAACATAACCGTAAGCTCAGCTTCAAGTATTTGGCTGTGCCAAAGCATATAATTGAGATATGGTTGTGACCTATTTTTTTACTTCAGAATTCACAGGACGACTACCTCAATTCCGAATAGTCCGTGCAATTGTTTTGGTGTTCTACCTCGATGTCAATAAACATTTTTCTTTCAAACAGCTTCCTTTTTTACTTACTTGGGAAACTGTTGAACTGTTGAGAATGTGTGTTTGAGTTTCAGTGAACTTTTGATTAAATAGACATTGCTTATGAATAAAACATAACCTGTTCCTTCTTTTTCAGATAATTTTCAATAACAATGAATTAGCAATTGCATTGGATATGCATAACAATGGATGCTTAAGCTTGTGCTCTACTGTTGTACAATAATAGGCTTTTCTTTTTAAATAAAATTTTTTAAAAAATTTACCGCTTTTCAACTGCATGGCAGAAATATTTTGGTCTGTTGTTGAAAATAAAAACGAATGCAGGAGACCTTTGGTCTTCTGTCGATGGAAAGAAAATAGGATGTAATGTGTGTATTTAAGTGGATATGCGACAAATCAGCGGATATTTCGGCGACAAATCGGCGGATATTTCGGCGAAAACGCGACTATTCAGCGGTTATTCAGGCGAAAAAGCGACATTTTTGAGGATATTTAGGCGAAAATGCGACAATTCGGCGGATATTTAGGCAAAAATGCGACGATTCAGCGGATATTTAGGCGATAAGTGGGTAAACTTGTCGACAAAAAGGGAAAATTCCGCATTATTTCCCCCGGACAGGCGAAAAAGGCGACATTCTGATGCGTTTTCCCCTTTCGCTACCATAGCATTTACCCCTTTTTAGGTTGTCTGGGCGCCTCCGTTTATCAGTTGTATGTCCACTAATACCTTGTTAACACTTATTTTCTTTAACCTAGTAAAATGCTTTCTTAACAAATACCTTAATAAAAGAAAATTAGACTGAGTAATCATATCTTAAACATTCCTTCATGAATATTGGCTACTCTGCCTCTCATCCTTTCTTTTACTTGCTCCCTCTTTTAGCACCCTTGTGATATGGAACGATGATTTCATCCTGCACCATCCTTAAAGCTTTAGATATTCCAAAGGGATATAAGGTTGCGATTTCTATAAGCTCCCACCTTCAATGGACCTGTCCTTGACTATCAGTTGCAAATCCGCAAAGCAACTTTCATGAAGCGCGCTAACTGTGGTACTGAATAAAACTATATACATTCATATCTTAAAAATTATCAACTCAGCTAAGTAATTTACTACAGTGGATATTGTATCATTTGTATCAATTTGATCTTGCCTGTAAACTGGCATGCCTCATGTAACAAACTGTTATTTAAGAATAAATTATTATTATTATAACACTGTATACAAAGTCAAAAACGTCTTAGCGTCGACATGACTAAAAGCCCTACGTATTGACCATAACGTCCTAAAACCTTTGTCGGTTATTGTACGGCAGTGTGCAGTAGTATTTAAGTTCTGGCTAACGATGACTCCAAAGTCATTGTGTGTCTGAACGACAGGTAGCTCAGTGTTATTCATCGTGTATGTATCTGTACCTTGATGACCGACATGCATCACAACACACTTGGAAGTATTTATCGGCAACTGCCAGGTTTGAGACCACTCAGATAATTTCTTCAGGTCATTTTGGATTTCTAAGCTATCACCCGCACATCGTATCACTCTCCATATATTGACATCGTCAGCATATAGCAAGACCGATGATGATAGGAGACGAGGAAGGTCATTTACATACAAGAGGAATAACACTGGCCCCAAAACTGTACCCCGAGGCACTCCACTAAGCACAGTTCCCCAGCTAGATAACTTTGATTTCACCCGCACTCTTCGTTGGCGCCCAACTAAGAAGTCTTTTATCCACATAAATAGATTGTCTCCAATCCCGACATTTCTTAACTTATATAACAGCTAATTGTACGGAACTGTGGTGGACCAAACAGATATGAACGCGAAAATTATAAACAAAGTTACTAAAAATCAATAGTAATATTAATATATACAATTAATTGTTACAAATACAATAAAAATTAGAGACGTTACTTAAATTGACCCAACGTTGCGTGTTCTGATTAGGTCCGGTAATGTAAATCCACAATTATAAATGTTTGATGATTCTGAGCAGGTTGGCGAACTCTCTAGTGATATAATCCGACGTAGGATGTGATATGTTCCGATTACCGTTTATAAATGCAGATAGTATTTGATTTAGACTTCCGTTAACTCAATCACAAATGAAAATAGAACGAGGGATGCGTGAATAGTAATGTATTTGTCAGCCATCAAGAATGTGTCACGCTATGTTAGAATCACAACGGAAAGTTTGTTCAAGGTCATTTACTAAAACAACAGTTACAGTCATTTAGTGTTAAATATACATACAGTGGAAGGTTGACAAAATAAATACAAATAACATTGAAAGCTATTTACGAAATAAGGTTGTCAGGCCTATCTCCACAGAACCTCGTCAAAAGTTTTGCTGAAATCAATGATGGCTACGTCTAAAGGTAACGTTTGGTCCTTAAGAGCCCACCAGATTTCACGAGCCACTAATAAGTTAGTGAGACAAGAATAACCTATTCTGAAACCGTGCTGCTTTTCGAAAGGGTCTGGTTTTTATCGAGATACTTAAACAGCTCCTTCCGAATAACCTTTTCTAAGATTTTAACAACCACACTTGTTAAGCTAACGAGTCGCTAATTCTCAGGTTTGAGTTCCGTACCTGTTTTGAAGACAGGACTTACTATGGAATTTTTCCAGTCTTTTGATAAAGGACCCTGTGTTGCGGGTAGATTAAAGCATATACTTAAAGGGTTAACAATGAAGTTAGATAATTCTTTCAGTAGCCTAGGATGTAATTCATCGGGCCCCGTGGGTTTACCTATGTCAAGCTTATTTGGTAGATCAAAGACATCGAGTTCTTTAATGGTCACGCTATCCAGCGTATGTGTAGGGGATCTGTATACCCTGACGGGAAAGTTGCTTCTATGATATATACATTTCTAAAGTAGTTCGAGAACACTTGAGCCTTACCGAAGTCGTCCTCCACTAATGATGCGGCAGTACTATCTTCCTATAGAGCAGGAATAGTTCCTCTTCTCTTTGTCCTTTTGTTTATATAGGAATACAAGCGTTTAGGACATTCTATGGATTCCTTAACACGTTTTTCGTCGTACAACTCTCTAGACTTACGGAGGGTCGAGACACAAGTATTCCGAGATTTACGATACTGAAATTTTGTCTCATCGGTCCCCAGTAACCTAAATCTATCCCACATTTTTCTTCTCTTACGGAGAAGGATACGTACCTCCCTACTGAACCATGCTGGAGAGTTTCTCTGCTCCCTTGGTGTAGTCCAAGGGATGTGGGGTGTGATAACTATTAAGTTTGAATTTCGAAATGCGTCCCAGGCCGTTTCGATTGAGGACTCTGAGTCTATTGTCCAATCTACCAACGATGTTGTGTGCATGATATCTGATATGTTTGCTTTCCACATGTTAGGTCTGGATTGGGCTGACGCGTGACTGACAGTTATATGGAAGTCGAAAGTTGAAACTGCGTGATACAGAAAAACAAATGATATTGAATAAAAATGTGGTTACATATAAAGTGTGACAAATTAGTGAAAAAATGCTGTTTTTATTTTGTCTTTATAAAAATCGCTAAATGTTCGTCACCATAACATAGGCATTCAATAACTTACCCACTGTTGACTAATACTCGCTAAATACATATACATATTTAGACTTTTTACTCACGCACTTCATATTGTGCTTGCATTTCTCGTGCTCTGAGGTTTTATTAATTATGAATCATACATTGACCCAGCATTTGGAGTTCTGGCTTTCGAAAGTTCTCAAGTAAATTCGTAATACTGCCAGGAGAATTATCAAGTTTAAATACTCAGTTACCAAAATATCATCTCTTAGGCAAAGTAAAGAAGTGGGGAACAAAGTGGCTAATAGATCCAAAACATAAACTTTACAGCTATAGATTGCAACGCCTCCGATTATTCTCATTGAGCTGCAGGAGAATAATTGTTGATCTAATAGTTGAATAAAGCATATTTAGCAATGCGAACCATCCCGATGAGAACATATTACCAACACATCATCAGCATTCTCCTCGAGGCAACCCTTCAGAGATTTCATACAAAAAAAACAGTCACCCAAGTACACCCTCATTTTTTCTCACTGAGCGTTGCTCTCCTTTGGAATGCTGTCCCAGCCGAAGTGACTACAACCGCTTCACTAGAGACTCGATAAACATGTACTCATTCATCGACTATCATCCACCTCCTCAACCATTTGTGTCTGATTCATGTTTCGCAAGTTACTGTAGTTATCATCATCTCATTTCTCGCTTATTATGAGCCCCTTAAAATTTCAATTACGTCTTCTTACACATTACCAGCTAAGTAAATTACGTTTTTACTCTTTTAAAAATCGTTTTCTTTTAGCACTTAAATTATCATTAACTACGTTTACGTTGCGACCAGCCAAACTCCTGCCTGGTACAGTGATAGCTACTGGTATGCAGGATTCCTATTTTCCTGAACCAAGAGCATGCACTCGAGCTATAAAATGTACATGTTCACAAGTAACTATCACACTGACTCAGGTTAGCGAAGTAAAGCGGCTGGACTACCATCTATTAGACGACACCAGATACATGAAACCGTACTGTAACATCAACAAGTTCGTGTCAAATATGCTGGGTATTGGATATTTAATTACCACCTTTAAAGTCATAACAACAGAACGCGGAATTATAAGTTCCGTTGGGTATTTTAGTGTTGAAACAGCTTGTTAGGAACCTGTTATATATTTTTTCATTTCTCAGGTCTTTACTCATAGTTTATTTCCCAGCTGGGAAGGTTTTGACATCAAAAGTAGTCTAAAAATCACTCCAAGTTACGAAACATTTATAAAACCCCGATAAAAGTCAGATATTTACCAGGAATAAACTAAATTGGTTGATAAAACATGTACCAAACGTTTTTAACATGATCTTAAAAACTACTACGTCTTTCAGCATACACTGACAAGCTAATATTTATTCTTGTATATTCGATATGAAAGTGTATATGTTGATGATTTTGGTCGCTCATCTTAACAGTATTATACTCACCTATATAATAAAAACGTATGGCTCAGCAAATAGAACAATTTGTTCTGCTTGCCACCGTTTAACACGGTATTGGCTTTGAGAAACACACTAACGAAAATGGTGTTATCTGAAGTCTTAAGTTAGATAATTCAGAGTTATAGGACGTAAGAAAGAAATCCGTTTTTCAAAGTTGAATACTTGTTTAATGCCAATGCGATTTGGATTTGTGTTGTATACCTGTTCCAAGACTAAATTTTCATGAAAATTGTATGGGTAACATATAGTACGAAATATGTGAAAGAGCCTAGAACAGAATTTTGTAGTTTAAAGGTGCTTTTTTGCAAGTACAACATGCTCTGTAAGCTTAGTCTATCTTTAGTCTTAATTCCGAATTCTTAATTCAAACGCGATTGTTGTTGAATGTTAAACTTAATAGAGAGGGTACAATAGACAACTTAAATATTGTGATTCATGAACTAACCAAACATAATTTTTGAGAACCGTTTATGTTAAGAACTACTACTGTTTAGACTGATAGCTGTTACATTGCTTTGGTCTACTCTGGTTTTCAGTTAGTAGTTTTGCATTTTCATGTAGTTTGCCATTTAAAGGTAAGTCTTAAGTTCTTCTGAATATATACAATAGTACATGCTTTGATAAGTTATCCTTTGGAAAGCGTCGAATAAGCTAATTAAATCGTTAACCACATTCAAAAGCTTCTTATTGTATGAAGTTCAGAGTAAAACCAGAAAACCCAGTAACAACAACAGGATTACGGCTTTTAAAACGTTTTGTTTATCATGATTAATCAACACATTATGATAGAGGTTTGTCCACGTTATGTTCTTCACTCACTTTGAAGAAAATGTCGAGAGATTTGACTTTATTAACTTACATTATTCCGAATGTACGATAAATGGTTTCTCACATCAACCTTGACAACTATGGACTATCTACATAACAGTAATTAAATTATTTCTCAAGGTTGAATTTTCGCAAATCGTACGTAGCCACAAACTGTGTAGGTTGAAATTTAAAGAAAAGCAGATGCGAATATTCTAAAGTCAAATTATGTAACTGGAAGGTATTCCTGTAACCTAACTTGCTTTATATAAGAAATGTCCAGAGAGCGTAAGTAAAGCGGAGAAAGTGAATAGTTTTGTTACAGCTTCAAACACAATTTTTGATTTGTTGTGAACCCCAACCATAGAATAACCAGGGATAAACATTAGTTTCACGAAATACAATCAGTCCGAGACTTTGATATGATGGAATTAAAAAGTCAAGTTTGAATTAGTGGGGGTGGGCCCTTATTTTTTCATTGTGATAGAATTAAACACATAGAACAAAACATTCAACTGTACAATAATTGTGTTAGTTACACCCCATAATGAAAGGACGAAAGTACTCAAAGGTTATAAAGTTGATGCAGTAAATTAGTAAAATACGACACTGACTTTATAAAGTGGTTCATGAAGTTAGTTTTTAATGTGGAAAGCTGTTCAGAAATAGTGTATTAGACAAGTATATTTTTTCTTATTCTGGGCGGCCAATAAAAGCGTATGCCAATCATTTTGTCGCGACTTGAGTAAAGTAATAATGTATAGACAGTTAGCTAGCAAATCAGCAACTTAATTATGAATTGTGGTTCTGAGGAGTTGAGTACAGTTTCTTAATAAATAAACCACTTGCCTGGTTTCGTCTGGTTTTAAACGATTTTCTATTTGATATTGCTACGGTGTCTTAAAAAAGCACTTTTAAACCGGCCATTCTCCTTTTATATTATGTTGGGATGGGTCTAATTTACCCAGCTGTCCAGACAGAATCATGTTACAAAACTACGGTTTACTTATACAATACTGAGTAATGTAATCAATAAGCCACCGATTGATTGATAATTTGTGATTCGGAAAATATGTTTAAAAAGAATATTGTTTTGGTAAGTATGATTTCCTTCATTCAGAAACTCATTCGAGAATTTTACCATAGAAAACTTTGGGCAGAAACGGTCACATGATGAAAATAAGCACTTAATACTGGATGACAATCCTAATTCTGAATAAATGTCGATGTTTAAACGTATGACGTTTCAATTAGGCCAACTGAATTATGATCCGTGCAATTTCATTCAAACTAACGACTTTTGTTAATATTTGATGAAAGTTTCAAGTCGTTTCCTTATGGCCAATTTATTTGTCTGGTCTCAAAGTGACAAAATACTTATTTCTGAATGTTCACTTTATTTCACAGTAAGGTTTAACAGGCAAGATGTAAATGAAGTTATTTTACTAAAGAATTTGGAGGAAACTATCAAATTATAAGTGTTTATTATAAAACTCCCTTAACATAGTCTAATTTTAGTTTGATTCTTTTGTTTTGTATTCGCAGCAACTTTTCAACGTGAATTAAATATAGTATGCATGAAACATTTCTATCTATTTTTAGATTATCCTTGGCGTAAATCGTACCATATGCACCTGATGTTCTGCTAAAACATTTTTGATAAAGTTTAGTTTATTGTGTGAATGGCCGTTTACGTCGATCGCAATATATTTCATATTGGCACTAGCTCATATAAGAATGATGTATTTCATGATATTCCAAGGGAAAGCTTCAATTACCAGTCAAAAGATCATAATAGCAATTATTTCGTAGACAATGCAAATACTTGTGTTGACGATAATTTTACAACAAAAGGTACAAATTATTTTAGAGAAGTGAAAGACTGGTTAAATGAAGATTTGTTTCAAGGTGGAGTTTTTGATGGAAAGCGTAATGCATGGGGTTGTTACCAATGGGACAATGGTGAAGTGAGTTCTTCTTTTGGTCACCTCTCCTAATCATTTCTTACGAGTTAAGGCAAAGTATAGTAAAAGTGGTAAGGATCATCCATTAGAGGATTCAGTCAAAACTCTTGTAAATAGTTACCATTGACCCGGAAGTGTTTTTATAAACTATCACTCCATTAAGGTTTGTTATAAAACTCCTTTATCAAATATCGTTCCAACCAATGTAAATTTTGTTAAGTTCTTCGCAGAACCTTGAAGTAAAGTTAAAGAGTTCAGGAAGTTGTTAGATTATCTCAAGAAAACTCTCAATTCAGTAGAAGGAGTTGTCAGTCGTTTAATTTCTTGATAATTACGTCTAAGGGTTTTAGTAATTTATGAAATAGGAGGAAACTGATGGCAAAAATAATTTCCGGCTAAACATAGTCGTTTACCACTCCGAACATGTACTTTACACGTTGGAACAATAGACAAACTTTAAAAAGGATAACTGGATGAGTATAAAAACTGTAAAAAAACGAAACCGATGAAAGTTTTATGAAGAAAAAGTACTGAAACAAACATCTGTACAGCTGAGACTGATTTTTGGTTATTATTAGTTTATAAGGTTCATTCACTTTCTTAAATTTCTTAAGATATCTATCACAAATACGTACAATATCTCTTTATCATCTGCCCCGTTATTGAATCCAATGCAGGAGAGTAACATTTTCGGTAGTCTGACATGCATGACTTGCATTCTGTAGGCTGATTAGCTTGTTCTTTCATTATTTTTTGATAAATAAAACTTTTGTCAAAACATTTTACTCAGTAGAATACTGTTAACTTGAACAGATATATTCTCATATTATCAGCCAAATTTTTCAGAAGACTCTGTATCCTGTCACTATTTATGCCTGACGAGACCCAGTTATTTGTTTACTTTAACTTGATCCCAAAAGTGGTTTGTAGATCAGTTTACAAGAAGTTTGCTAGAAATATCTTTACACCTAAGACTGTATTTAGGATAATTTTAGATAAACATGGATAGATTAGGTTTTCACGACAATCAGTCGCAATGAAGTTTAAGCAAATAGTTTCCGGTAATATGGTATAACCCCGACGGTTGTTGCTACCTTGACGTGGTGATCGAGCTTGCCTATCGTGATAAACCAGTCGACCTATACTGGTTGGAACAATCGTTTCTCAAGATTCTACCACCTCAGACAGGTCAACTGGAGGACGGCAAGACTAAAAGCAGCGAACTCAAGGTCCGAAAGCGAAGTCGTAATGCTGACTGTACAGAGGTGAGACGGCAGTAAGGTGTTTTCTTTAGACAACCAAGGTGGGGTTAGAAAAGCTCGACCCTAAAAACACACACCTCACCTTATCCAATGGATATTCGTCTCCGGCAGCAAGGTCTCAACAAGTACGGAGCTAACACAAAATTACCCACAAAATGGTCGTGTGTGACCAACCTTTGGCAGTTGTTCCTTGAAAACTGCAGTAACGCTGTCATGTCACTACGAACACCTTTAATCCAATTTCCCCTTCAAGTACCTCCAGAAGAACTCTTCCACGGTGTGCATAACAAGGAAATGATAACCGCCCTCATGCCTCTAACAGCACTCAAGATCATCGACTGAATATGGTATAACTACTATGTACTAATTTGTAATGAATAATTTTAGGGAAACCTTTAGATCAAATGCTGACTTTCTACCAAATAATGTAACGAGAGACGTGGGCTGTAAGAATCACTATTGTCAAGGAAATCCTCTGAAGAGTAAAAACATAATCAGTACACTTTCGATCCGTTTGTAAACTAACATAATTTTTTCTAGTTATCGAATGAATATCACTACTATAGTACCAGAAATACTATCAGTTTATATCGTTCCCGTAAGGCCTAAAAGTATATTTTTCTTTTGCTTCTTTTAACATTTCAATGTGAAAAACTAAAGAACATTCAAAGCTGGATAGTGGCTAGCCATGGAATCCAGAACGAGCGCCACTTCGTCTTATTTGGGACTCACCAGCTGGATGAACTTCCATCTCAGAGTCGATGTTCACTCCGAAACTAGAACTCAGTACCGTCCGCTTCAGACGCCATCGCTTTATCCACTAAGCTACTGAGTCCCAATAGCCACCTACTGGTTCAATAGGATGAAGTTTTAAATTCACATAGTATTGTCTACTTGAATTTTCCCATTGATATTTAAAACTGCAATTGATCATATACACATATATGCACATATGTGCATACTGTGCATATTGCTTCGATATTGTCTTCATTCACAAGCATTCTGAACAAAGATGGATAGTGGCTAGCTGTGAAATCCACGATGCGCATTTCATCCGATTTGGGACTTGTCAGCTTGATGTACCTGCATCTCAAACTTATTGATATTCACTCCGGAACTCGAACACAACACATATGCTAATATGAGACTGACCAATTGTAGTTTTCAAAATCAATGGGAAGAATCAAGCAAACAATGCCAAGTGAACTTGAAGAACATTCCGTTTTATAATTCAAAGTATACTTTGGCAGTTTAGTCCTATGGTTATTGTTCTTGATAAACTTGTAATTTAGATAATTCTATTCGATAATTTTATCATAAGACTGGATCAATATATTTTGTTATGTATTGGGTAACCGCGTGAAAATCTTTAAATGTGTTTTGATAACTGTTAAATATTATGAATCTAGATGACGTAACATTTACTGGAAAAAAACACGACCAGAATGATTGGAGAATTTGTTGGTTAGATAACCATTAAAGACCACCATTATTCTTGATTCGATAGTAGTTTTCGTAGTGCTTAGATCAAAAAGTATTGGACGCTGAAGAAATGCAGAGTCTTCTGATCACTCTAAGCAACAATGCAAACATGTTCGGTATGCGATCCTCCCCCTCGAAATGCAAAATTTTGCTTGCTGATTGGGTTGCATCGACACCCGAATTAATGATAGGGAGTGTAGTAGTCGAGCGTGTCGACCGCGCCACTTATCTTGGGAGTATCATTAGCCTTTGTGGTCTGATGTATGATGAAATCTCATCACTAGTACAGAAGTCTCGACTAGCTTTTGCCAACTTGCGTCATTTATGGCGTAGGCGAGATATCCGTCTACCAACCAAAGGACGTGTTCACTGAGCAGCAGTTCGTTCCATCCTACTTTATGGCTGTGAAACATGCCTGGTAAGAGCAGAGGATATTCGTAAGTTACTAGTATTCGATCATAGGTATCTTCGAAGCATTGTTCGTATACCCTGGGACCACCGAGTAAGTAACGCAGTTGTTAAGAAATGGGTACTAGGTAAGTATAGCAAATCAATTGATGAAGTAGTGTAACTTGATCAGTTGAGATAGCTGAGACATGTGTTACGTATGCCCAACCACCGACTGCGTCGACTTGCGATGTTTTCTGGTGTAGGAGTAGGTTGGAAGAGAGCTAGGGGCGACCAGACTAAAACATGGCACAAATCTATGAAGTCACTGACAAGTGGACTGAGCCATGTTGGTAGGTGTGGACTAGCTGGTTGGGATCCGCGGGATGATAGCAACCGATGATTATAGAGCTTGAATAACATGGCTCAAAATCGTTTGCAGTGGCGCAGGTGCATCTACTCATTGTGCTCTCCCAAATGCTAATCTTCTGAATTCTTCATGTTCCTTATTTTTTCTCCTTCAGAATTTATTTCACTGGATTATACTCATCGAATAACATCTTCAAACCCTAATCTTTCCGATTACTGCTTATACTTTTACTACCTTTACCACTACGGGATTTGAATAGACAATTGTATCTGTGTGGTAATGTGGTATGACAACTCGAACTGATGTACGTACATCCGAAGTTCTACGTTGTTACTGACTTACTGACTCATTCTAATTTAAAACTTCTCAGCAATGTATGACTTTAACCTCTCCAAAAAATAAACTGAGAGACATTATGAACTGTGGCAAGCTAGATGAAACGGTTTTCCAATTACCTCTGATTCTCAGAGATTGACCAACTGTAACTAGTTCATGTCGTGAGACAGTTCAAAATGCTATTCAACTTTGAAATCAGCCAAATACTGAATATTCAGTTGAGATACAAACAACACAATTCTTAGAAAGAAATTGTTAATTAACTGTATTGACACAACACAAGTCTTTCAAACTAGTGACTGGTAGGGTGAATTGTGCAGTAAATGTAAGCTTTCTAAACCTGACTTTATTGACATTTAGCGAATTATTTCAGGATTATAGAAGCAAACACTAAACAACGGTCTGGTTGATGAAGATATTATGAATGACCAGGGTATGCATTTCAGTGAGTTTATGGAGCTAAAGTAACTCTAATGTGTGTTTAACCCTATTTGAGTTGTGGATATCCACTACCATAGAGTCACATATTAGAATGAATCATCTATTCAGTACTTTACAGGTTTTACCGATTTTCTAACCAAAAGTCAGTACGCGATTTAAACTTAACTTTAATTAGGTAACCGTGTTATGAATAACATGTAAATACATTTTTACGCTTTTAGAAATATTTTGGAACATTTTTCAATGATAAAAAACATGGTTACGGTTATTATGTATGGCCTAATGGATCAAATTATTTGGGTACATTTTATCTTGATAAAAGATCAGGTTATGGAATTATGAGATATTCAAATGATTCAATGTATGAGGTCAGTGATATTTCCGTAGTTAATTGATATTATTCAAGTATATTAGATGATATTTTTTTTGTTTAGTTTTGAGTGTATATGGAATTATAATCTATTTGCAACTGATTGAGGATTTGTAGCGTGGTGTCGATTCCCAGTTGACTATGAACACCATTACAAAGAAACGCGTGCCAGGATATCCATAAAATCCCCCGGACGCCAAATATCAGAAGGTAGTTAATGGACCAAGTCGAGATATATTTGCTGGCGATCTCGTGGTATCGAAAGAATACCGAGATCGTGCAAGGATGCAAGCTTGGTTACTGAGCGTAACCGGATTCACGCGAGGTCACAATCAAAGTAAGTATAATGGATGTTTTTAGCACAGTTAAACAAATAACACATTAAAACAATCACTGGTACAATTGGTTATAATAATAATTCTTTTCATTAAACCAATCGTGTTTTCGTGATAAAAGTAAGTCACTACAGATTATGAACACCTTGACATCTGAGGGAAAACACAGCATACAATTGACGGCTCAGAACCAAATAGACGATTTGGACTTCACAGATAACCTGTTTCTTATATCCCATACACACGAACAAATACAGAAGAAGACAACTAGTGTAGCATCAACCTCTGCATCAGTAGGATTCAACATACACAAAGGAAAAATCAACATCCTCAAAGACAAGACGGAGAACGCCAACCCAATCACAGTTGATGGAGAAACTCTGGAAGATGTTGAATCTTTCACTTACTTGAGAAGTATCATTGATGAACAAGGAGGATCGGATGCAGACATAAAGACGAGGATTGGCAAACCAAGGGCAGCATTCCTACAACTGATGATCATATGAAACCCATTTTCTTATTTATTTTATTTTTAACACATAGATATTAGTACAAGGAGGCACCAAACACATATGCGCCACACAAATCTCATTCGATATGTGTGAGGGCTGTGATTCTGCCCGGGTGACTAAACCAATGCAGGTGATTTTCTTAGGGGGCCACTTCCCGAGCCTTCGACCTGAAGGTCTGATCCACAAGGCAGTGGAGCATCGTAAGGAGATGCAGTCACATGGAAGCCGGTGGCCAACAATTGGTTCATACGCCATTTGTTCCCGCAGGATACTGGAGCCCATGTGCACCATTGATTTGAGATCCGGTTAAAGCGCCGGACATTCGCTTTTCGTCCTCTCAATTTCGTAAACAACACCCCCGCCACGAGAAGGCAGTGAATAGGACGTCCCTGGCAGAGGCTATTTATGCGTGGCCATATGAGAGCATTTCGAGAGGGAGGGCGAGCCCACCCCACTCTCGGCCATACCAGGGCATTTGGGGGCGCTTTCATATATAAATCATATTATTATTATTTTTATTTAAACACATATATCCTGACCATGTGAGAGCATTTCGTGAGGGACAGCATACTCTTCACACTCTCGGCCGTACCAGGGCATTTGGGGGCAAAGCCGACTCCTTGACCGGGAATCGAACTCGGGCCTTCCACGTGACAGGCGGAGATACTTACCACTATATTATAAACTCGAAATAACTGTCAAGACAGATCTATCGTACGGAGCTGAAACATGGAGAACTATCACAACCATCATCAAAATGATACAAGTATTTACAAATGGTTGTCTACGCAAAATACTCAATATCCGTTGGCCGGATACCATCAGCAACAGCCTTCTGTGTGAGCGAACAAACCAGCTTCCAGTTGAAGAGGAAATTAGGAAAAGAGGATGAAAACGGATAAGACATACATTACGGAGATCATCAAACTGCATCACGAGGCGAGCTCTAACTTGGAATCCTGAAGTGGAGCGGAAAAGAGGAAGGCCGAAAAACACATTATGTCGGGAAACGGAAGCAGATATGAGAAGGATGAATAACAACTGAAAAGAACTGGAAAGGAATGTCTAGGACAGGATCGGATGAAGTGTGCTGCTGGGCGGCCTATACTTCTCGACATCGGGTAACAGGCGTAAGTAGGTAAGTAAAACTGCTGGATTATGACGGGCATCATAGTTAACAATGAAGGATCATCACCATTTGTCACTAATTTAATGAGATTGGTCAATATAAATGTCTAAATATTAACTTTCTGTACTAAAAGTATAGGATTTTCAGTGAGACATAAATGTTTGATGAAGAGTTCATGTCGTTATTATTGATGGTTTTAAAGCTGAAAATTAAAACAAAAAATGGTGGTAACAAAATGAAATAAGAAGTTCCGTACTCGGAGATAGACTTCATCACAAATTGACAATAGTTAAATTTGAGACAATGACTATGTTTTTTTGGACAGAATTTTGTACTTTTAAGAGATGAATACTAACAATACATATACACAGTACCTTTAATCCTTTTGATCCACTAATTTGAGCTGTATTGACGTACATACTCACAAATCCACTATGAAAATAGACAAGATTTTCAGAGTACTGACCTATTTTATAATCCCGTTTTATGTAGAGTGCTTTATTTTTCTTCACCAAGAACTATTTTCAAAATATAACCCGTGATATTCATGTATCATCACGATTATGTTGCAATTAGTCATTGTGTTAAGGTTTAAAGGATCGATAACAGAAACTTGAATGGAATTCTTTATCTTTAATTTGGGATCGATTGGTTTATGCTAACTTGCGTCACTTATTGTGTAGCCGAGATATCCGTTTACTAACCAAAGGATGAGTTTATTGTTCAGTAATTAATTCTGCTCTACTTGTTCAAAACATGACCATTGAGTACAGAAGATATTCGGAGGTTACTGATGTTTGATCACTGATTTAAATGAAGCATTGCTCGTATATTTTGAAACCACCGAATAGGCAATATCTGGGTTAGAAATGGCAGAGGATGGCGAACCAATTGATGAAGTAGTAAATCTTCATCACATGAGATGGCTGAGACATGTGTTACGTGTTCCCAACAACTGCCTACCTCGACGGGCAATGTTTTCTAGCGTAGCAATGGTCTGGAATATATCTAGCAGCACCCAGACGAAAGCATGGTACTAGTCTATGGAGTCATTAACAAGTAAACTGAGTCATGTTAAAAGGTATAGACTACCTGGTTGTGGTCTGTTTGATTATCGTAACTAATGGTTACACACTTGGAATGAAATCTCCCACAATCGTTTGCAGTAGCACTGGTGCATCCATTCTTTGTGTTTTCCCGGGTTCTAAGCTTCTGAATTCTCGAATCGTATCTCCGATGCCTAATCTTTCCCGTTATCACTAATACTGTTACTACCTCTGATACTCTGAGATTTAAAATAACAACTTCACCTCACTATACTAACGGAGTAAAGTAGCCCTAACTGATGTACTGACGTTATTTTATATTTTTATTTAGATACATAAACATTGGTACAAGAAGGCACCAAATGGATATGCGTCACATAAATCATTCGATTTGTATGAGGTCTAGGATACAGTCCGGGTGCCGAAATCAAACCGAGTGGTTTTCTTAGGGGGCCACATTCAGAGCCTTCGATCTAAACATCTGATCCATAAGGCAGTGGAACAACGTTGAGAGACGCAGTAACATATTTGCCGGTCACCAACAACAGGTTCATACGCCTTTTGTCTCTCAGGATCATGGAGCTCATGTGAACTTTTGGTTTGGAATCAGGGTTTTCCAACTTCCCTGAGTGGGTTCTCTATATCTACTTACCGAGTTAAAGTACTGGACATTCGCTTTTCATCATCTCAATTTCGTAAGGGACAATAATGCCAGGAGAATGTAGTGATTAGGACTTCCCTATCAGCGATTGTATGCACGTGGCCATGTGAGAGTATTTTGAGAGGGTGAGCTGACTCTCCTCATTCTCAGTCAAACTAGGGCATTTGGGGATCTGTACTTACGCACAAAGTTTCAAGTAGTAACCGACTGACTAATTGATTAATTCAGTGTGTAATCACAATTGTTTGATCACTGGGTGGTGATCAATGTCATGTGTGTCATTGCCTTCTTAGTGCAGATCGAATGCTATCGACCAAGTTGCGATGTGGCCACTAGTCTAAGTGGCTCGACATTGCGTGCACTATGTTTAGATAGGATGGTGGTTTAAGGTAGCCAACAGGAAACCCTGGACCTGGGTTTCGTGCTACTTGGCACTTGTCAGCAAGGTGTACCTGTGAATACATCTCAGTCCCTCATGAAGCCAGTCGCGGCCCAAATAGCTCAGTGATAATATCTCTGACTATGAAGCTGGGTGAAACGGGATTTATTCGGTTATGGAGCATCAGTTCCTCCAAGATTACAGGTACACCTTGTTGACGAGTGCCAAATAGTATGAAACCCGGGTCCAAGGTTTCCTATTGACTACCTCCAACCATCATCTTAATCCAGTATATACATATTTATAACTAGACTGTCGTTTCATCGAGACTTATAATTCCTTTATTGAATTCATATTTTGTTTTTTTGCTTCTTCCTCTTCTTCTTGTTCTTCATAGGGATTCTTTTCAAATGATCAACGTTATGGTCCTGGTATATTAATAACAATGACATCAACTACATATGAATTAAATGTTGGTTATTGGAAAAATGATCGTTTAATTCGTTTAAAAAAATCTGCATTAAATAATCAAGAATTTCATTTTATGAAACAATTTCCACAATATAATTTTTATAAATTAGTTAATTTAGAATTAATGTTTCAAAATAATCAATATCAAAAATCAATAAAACAAGAACAAAATAATTTATTGATTAATGAACAAATTTATCATTATGATCAATCTTATTTCAATGAATCTTTATCATTATTATTATTCAATAATTCTTCGATTAATTCAACAGAATTATTAATTCAAATTATACAAAATGTAAGTGTATATTATTATTTTAAGAAAAGGGGTGGGGTGGGCTGGAGTGGAGTGGAGTGGGGTAGGGGTTTTTGTGGAGATTGTAGTAATTTTTATAAGTTGTGATCATGAATCGATTGATGTTAGATCATCAGGAAAAGCTTAAGAGCATTGGATGACTGTTTCGTCCTAGTATGAGATTACCCAGCAGTGCGTGTCTACGATTCTGCTCATGGGATTCGAACTCAGAACCTATCCGTCTCGCATGCGATCGCTTAATCTATAGACCACTGAACCGAAGTTCAATGGTGTGAATGGCTAACTTCCACTAATTCACGTAGGTTTTGGGTTTGAATCTCGCCAACAGGATCGTGGATGCCCACTGACGAGCAGACATACTAGGATGAAATGGCCATTCAGTGCTTCAAGGTTATTCATGGTAGTCTAGCTTCAATGGACATTTTGCTAATTACGTATTTACTATTTGATTGTTAGATTTTATTAACAAGTCCTGTAATTTTGTGTTAAATACATTCGATTGTTCCTCACTGGTGTTCTTGTTCACTACACTCATACAATTAATGACCTGGAAGTTAGTGGTTCATATTTTACAACTTCACATGTAGATTGATACATCATGATCGTTATTCAATGTTACAGGTAGACACTCATCTTTTTACATTGTAAATTGGGCGAAAATATTTAGATAAATCTAAATAATTGTGAAAAGGTAAGTAAGAACATACTAAATGAAACAGAAGGAAACCAGAACTAATCAATATGTAATAATCAGAAGCCATGATGTAATTTAGACTATTGGATAACCACAGATACCATAACGTGACTGACTTTAAATAATTTTTTTCGAGTTTTTCACCACAGGTTACGATTATCTTACGGAGCACAATCTCATGGCTTGATAAATACCTATCTCTATCCTTCATATAATATACTTTTATTCTATTCAGCAGTATAAATTAGAGTAGAAGGTGACTGAACACATATAATAAATGTATATACTATCTCTGTCGACGAACGTTATATTATCAGTTATTTGGTCACGTGTTTGTACTACTCTATGCTTAAATATCGCTGTTGTTGAATCAGCGCTCTCATCGTATTCTGGTGATTCATTACAGAAACTACTATTAGATTCTTGTAACCTATGCATCTCCCAAAAATTCAGAGTGATGACGAGAGGGTAATTGTGTAGAATACTTGCTTCTTGAAAGGCAAACTACTATGTCATCTGTGATACTGGGGATATAAGTCAAGGAAAATGCTTCCATGTGTAACAAGATAACGTCATTAATTAGCTCACCAGTATTGATGAAACTTCCAATAGTAAATGACTCCCAGTTTTGAATAAATAAAAAACTGGAAGAATATAGTCTAATTAGAGTTTCGGTGTACATTCGAATGCATTGTTTCTGTTGAACTCTACTTAATGAATAGTTTGCAAATTTTTAGTCGGAATTCATTTAACCATTTTAGTATACCTTCAAGTTAATTCTTTATTATTAGTCGGATAGTTTTGCTAACTGCGAACAATTTTGTCAATATCGGTATGAAGCTGTGGAGATTATTAAGTTTTTGATTGAGATCATGAACTAGTTGATGTTAGACAACCAATGAAAACGTGGAAGCACTGAACGGCCATTTAGTCCTATTGTGGAAGATCATGATCTCAGTCAAAACCTTAATAATCTCCACAACCCTATACTGATAATTATTATGTTCTCACTAGTGACTAACTTTGTGAAGGAATTCTCGAAGTTCTAGTGAGAAGCCGTGACCAGTAGAGCTAATCCGTGTCGGGTAGAGACAAGTATTTATCTCAGTACAATGGAAGATGGTCACGCAATTTCGTAAATTGGTTGAAATTAGACATCAACACCGCTGGATGCCAGTTCAGTGGTCTAAAAGTCAAGCATTTACGCATGAGACCGAAAACCCTTGGTTCTAATCCCTCCAGTGGGATCGTGGATATACACTGCTGAGGAGTCCTACAATGGAACAAAACAGTTATCCAGTGCCTCCACGTTTTCAATGGTAGTCTAACAACAGTCGATTCATGATCTCAATCAAAAAATCTTGTTAATAGTTTTTAATATTCTCGAAATCTATATTTTGCTCTGATTTTTTTCTAAATATTATAGATATTAAAACAAAGTAATTTACCTAAATCATTTCAAGTATGGAATATGAAGAGTCCATTATTTGAAAGATTTATTGCAGATCAAAGTTTTAAACATTTACTTCATTGTATACCAACACCTATAGAATCATCACTTTTAAACTTTAACAATTTACAACAGATGACAGAAACCATGGGATCTATTCAAAATGGTTATTCAAAATTGTCCAATTCAAAAACTGATGAATTTAAACAAGAACAACAACAACAATCCGAAACTTATTCTAAACACGATTCTCTATTTGAGTATGTGGATTCTCAATTATAATACTTATCATTTTGTTAAAATATCGACATATATAGCGCTACAGTCAGTATATATGGTCTCATAGACATAATTCTGTTGTACTCTCATCCTCACTATATCCTTAACATTTTAATAGCATACAAATAAGTGTACTGTTCGCCTGGAAGAAAGTTTTTGCATTCTATGATTATCTAGGATCATTCTAATTTATTTAAACCTTCCTTTAAAGTATGGGAAAAAACGACATCTGCGATTAATTATATAAAACAATAGAGAACCATAACAATCACTGAACAAATGATTCTTCATTTAACTTGATTAAGTAAACAATTATTCAAAGATGGATAATGACCAGCAGTGAAATCTAATTTGACGTGCGTTTCATCCTAATTGGGATTTGTCAGCTGGATGTGCCTACATTTCAGAGTCGATGTTCACTCTGAAACTAGAACTCAGTACCGTTCGCTTCAAACGCCATCGCTATATCAACTAAGCTACTGAGTCCCGTTAACCACCTGCTTGTGCAATAGGGTGAAGTTTTAAATTCACTTGGTGTTGTTTACCTGTAACTTCCCGTTGCCATTTAGGACTGCAACCGATTATGGGTCTCTTGTTGGTATATGTACTTTCTGTGCGGACTGCCTCGATATTGCTTTAATTCTCAAGCATTCTAAACAACGATGGATAGCGGCTAGCTGTGAAATCCACGATGCGCATTTCATCCGATTTGGGACTCGTCCGCTGGATGAACCTGAATATCAGAGTCGATGTTCACTCCGAAACTAGAACTCAGTACCGTCCGCTTCAGACGCCATCGCTTTATCCACTAAGCTACTGAGTCCCAATAGCCACCTACTGGTTCAATAGGATGAAGTTTTAAATTCACATAGTATTGTCTACTTGAATTTTCCCATTGATATTTAAAACTGCAATTGATCATATACACATATATGCACATATGTGCATACTGTGCATATTGCCTCGATATTGTCTTCATTCACATGCATTCTGAACAAAGATGGATAGTGGCTAGCAGTGGAATCCAGTTTGACGCTCGTTTCGTCCTATCTGGGACTTTTTGGCTGTATGTACCTTCATCTCAAACTTGTTGATGTTCACTCTGGAACTCGAACCCAATACATATGCCAACAAGTGACTGGTCAATTACAGTTCTAAATAATAATGATAAAATACAAGTAAAACAACATTAAATCAATGTAAACAGTTATTCATTTAAATACATTTTTTTATTCAATTACATAAACCTAATTATTTTCCTTTTTGATCAGTTCACAATTTAAACAAAATCAAACAGTTTGTTTAGTTGATATGAGATCATATATAACACAAATTGCTTATTTACAAAATTTTCTACGTAAATCATGTAAAACAATTGATTGGTACAAATTATCAATGCATCACATAATTCATGATGTTACTGATAACGAACATAATCATGACCTTGAAAGTGATGAACATGAATGTCATGACCTTGAAAATAATTTAACTAAACAATTGTTTATTAATGAATGGTCAATGATCTGGAATAAATTCTCAAAAAAAAATTTTAAAAAATCTAATAAACAAACATTAATACATAATATGAATCCAAAATATCAATTAACCGGTAAATATGAAACATTATCAATACAATTTATTCAATATTGTTTTAATGGATTATTTGATAAAGTTAGAAATTTATTACAAGTTGAAAATCAAACAAATATGAATCAATATTGTATTGATCCAAATGTTACTGATAATCATGGACAATTTGGATTATTAGGTGCTGTGGTAAGTTATAAGAATAATTAATAGTCAGTTTTGCATTACAGATTTATATAATTTCAATAGTTAAGATTATGAGTCAATTAAAGCTAGACCAACATCATGGAAAACTTAGAAGCATTGGATGGCTGTTTCGTCCTATTGTACGATTCATCAGTAGTTCAAATACACGACCTTGAATGTGTATGTATTATGTGTTTAAGATCGAATCCATAAAAGTCCGAATATCGTGCATAATGTTAAGATAATGGTACGGATAGAATACAGTCTGAGCATTACTAAAAAAGAAATTTCTTAATGAACACTTTTTTAGAATTAATACAGGTTTTAAAATTTAATGCATGATCTGAAACATTAGTCTTAGAATAATTTAACAATCAAATTGAATTTTCTTTGTTATTACTGAATACCTATTGGTTAATTTTTAATTTAACAAATCAGTATCCCAAGTGACCTGGTACAGCTGAGAGTGAGGAGATTCAGCTCTCCCTCTCGAATTCCTCTCACTTTGCCACATGCATACAACCACTACCAGGGAAGTACTACTCACTGCCATCTCGTGGAGGGAGTGTTGTTTTACGAAGTTGAGATGATGAAAAGCGAATGTCCGGCACTTTAACCGGGTTGGTGTATATGGAGGATCCACCTACGAGAGTTGAGAAACATTGATTCCAAACCAACTGCGAACAATTTTGTCAATATCGATATGAAGCTGTGGGGACTATTAAGTTTTTGATTTAGATCATGAACCAATTGATGTTAGACCAACGTTGGAAAGCTGGAAGCATTGGACAGCCGTTTTGTTCTATGCCCACTACTGAGGAATCCCAAAATAGGACGAAACAGCCGTTCAGTCCTTCCAGGTTTCCAACGGTTGTCTAACATCAATCGGTTCATGATCTCAATCAAGAAAAAAATATTTATATATACTACTGATTAGTATTACTTTATTTTCTTTCCATTTCACGCTTGTTTTTATTAATTTAGTTAACATGGAATATGAAATTAGTGAATCTCTTATTGGATTTTGGTGCAAATATCAATCAATTAACTGATGATGGCTTAACAGTTTTCACAATATGTTTATTAAAATATTATGAATTATTTAAAGAAATTATGAATTTAAAAATTGATCGAAATGATCAATTTAGTGAAGGAGATCAAGAATCATTAGATCAAAGTGGAAATAATCAATTGGAACAAGAACATTATCAACAACAACAACCGAGACAATATGAACCAGATCATATATTGCCGATCATTACGAAAAGAATAAAGATGAACGATAAAATGGTTGATACAATAAATGATAATGAAGATTATAATGAGAAGAAAGAATCAGATTTAAATAAATCCTCATCATCTTTACCTATTGGCAGGAATTATATTTATCGTGTTGAATTACCTGTATTATTATCGACAACATCTTCAGAGAGTATGGTCACGTTAAGGCGTAATGCTAGACTGTCACAAATACGTAGAATGCATTTAAATAAAATTAAAGAACGTAAGTGTTTGAATTTTGATAGTGGGTAATGGGGTAGACTTGAATTATACAGAGAATATCAGTTTATTCAAAATTCCAGACATCTATTACAACTAAAGTGTCAATTACCATAAATTCTACATTCTTAGTTTTTTTCCCTTATTTGGCTCCTACCAAGGAACATAAACACAATTTACTGTAATATCAAGTTTCTTAGATGAAGTACCCAAATTATGATTTCATCGAGAAAATTACAATGTGGTGTGTATTACTGATGTCGATAGGTATAAGTAGTAGGTATCATCAATTGAAAGTGGAATGCCTGGAGGCAGAAGGTTAAGAAAATCAAAGAAAAAAACGAGTACAAAGAATGATTGCTGTAGAAATGAAAGAACAATGAATTCTGAGACGGTTGACTGGCATTTTGCAATGAAGTATTTACCGTATGATTCTCGGATCTTACTAAGATGTTCTGTAATTTGTGTGTTCAAATACATTCGATTGTCCCCACGTGATCACTACATTTGATGTCGCTGCCAGTCAGATGGGGGATAGGTGCTGTTCTGCGGACGGAGTTTTGGACCTGGAGCTGAGGTGTTAAAGGGGGCGGTCGGGTGCGGGGAGGTGACATCGAGTGAAGTATTCTGGCAGGGTGGCGTTATCTGTAGCGAGTGCCGTCGGCAGAGAGGAGCGGTAGGTTGTGCGGCTACTAGGCGGACATTGAGTTTTGGTGGCCCGACGGAGCTATTAAGTTCAATGCGTCGCGGAGTCAACATTTCGACGGAGAGCGTATCACAGACTGCAAAAAGTAAAAATTGGCATGACGAGCAAAACGACTGCTTTAAGAGGGTGGGGGTTGAAGGTAGTTGGTGCTCCTGATGTTGAAAGATATAAGTAGTATGTATCACCAATCGACTGTGAATACCATACGTTGTTCATTAATGCTTTAACATTATAAAACATATTTTCTATCATGTATCTGTTATGTCATTGCATTTTATTGTAGGTCGTTCACTTATTACTAAATCAAATGAAATGAGAAGATCTACACAACAGTCACCTGAAATAAAAAATGATTTGATTACTACAACTCAATCAGTTTTACCTACTTTTCAACGTTTTACAAATTGTTTAACTCGTTTTAACTCTATAAAAGAATTACGTTATGAAGATAATCCTATTAATTCATCATTGAAAGATTATAAAATGAGTCCAACTTCATCATCAAAATCTATGTAAGTTAATTATAAAGATTTTTGTTCTATTAAAGTATTTGATGTCTGATCCAATGACTGGAAATAATTGAATAATATTGCGAATTAAAGAAAATTGATCAATGCATTAGGTGCAACCAGCTGACGAGTTTCAAATACGAGGAAACGCGTATCCTGGATTCCACTGCTAGCCATCATCCATTTTTGCTTATAAAGCTAATGAATTAGTAAATCATTTATTTCAGATTTTAATTATTTATATTGTATTTATTTATTTGAACACGTAGATATTGTTACAAGAGGGCGCCAGATACATATGCGCCATACAAATCTCGTTTGACTTGTGTGTGAGCTGTGATACTGCCCAGATGCCCAAACCGAAGCAGGTGGTTTTATAAGGAGGCCACACTCGGATCCTTCGATCTAAACATCTGATCCATAAGGCAGTGGAACAACGTTAGGAGACGCTGTTAAGTAATTTTATTAATTCCAATGGATAATTGTTTTATGATTTGACCAATCGGAGTAAATTATTCAGTGATTTATCTAATTCACCATCATAATTACATCGCAAAACACACATTCATAATCTAATTGAAATTGAATTATATGTATTAAAAGTCAAAGAATTATAAGACGTTAAGCGTTCGCGCACGAGGCCGATAGGTTCTGGGTTCGAATTCCGCCAGTCGGGATCATGAATGCTCACTGCTCAGGAGTTCCATACTAGTATGAAACGGCCGTCTAGTGCTTCCAGGTTTTTCATGGTAGTTTAGGTTCAATTAACTCATGAACACAACTATTAAATCAATTTTAAATTTGATTAAATCAGTACATTAAGAGTTACAATTTTTCACATATCTCTCTAATCATTTGAAATTACTGATATGTCTAAACTATGGATTATTTTTGTATTGAGAAGTTACATAGAATCTTATGTAATTCAATTTATTCGTTATCAAAATATAGGTATGCTGAGAATCGCAAGACTAGACCAAAAACTATCTCGATAGACCAAAGAAATAAAAAGGTGATGTTTAAAAATAGTTTTCTTTTTCCTATTTAGTTTTACATTTATTGACTACGTTATAAACTATATTCATACAGAGACTTTGTAGTCTTAATGTGGATTAGCTTCTCGTATTGAATACAACGTTGATCTGCCTACTTAACGGGATTCTGTAATCTTAGAGTTCACTTTATGTCAGTAATATAGATGACGTCATTTTCTATCTGTTTGTTCAGATTGAATGTCACAAGGTTAATTGACATATAGAAATTCATTCTGTTCTTCATCTGCACAACCAAACTACGGGAAATCACTTAACGATTAAGTCAATAATCCAATTGATGTTCGTTCAAACAATCTCATCAATGATCATCAACAAACATCGGATATCCTAATCATAATTGATCCATATGGATACTTCTATTCCAAATGATCAATCATAACATGAGGAAAGTCTACCAGTTTATCTCTTATTACTATTGACTCAAAATCCAATATAGTATTCATCTATCATAAGACTACCACACAAACACACACCATACATAAATGGTGTAAATCACAATCTGTAAATAGTCAGATCATTCGTCGCACAAAATTGAGTAACATGTACACAATCAATCAGTGATAATTTGTGGATGATAAACACATTTGAGTAGATTATAGACTAAACAAAAGCTTCAAATTACGGCATTCTTAAACTAATGTGTATCAAATATTTATTGAATATCCAGTGAAAATATAAATATTAATCCACCTTTGATTCACCAGGGTGCTTGGTACCTGCATGGTTGCGCCACAGGATTGAGATGTACTATTCAAATTGTAGCGTTAAAGCCTATACGGTGTCTGGTTTTCCTGTGAAGAGTGATTGAGCTGTACTGTCTGGGTTGTCACGTGAAAGTCTGGATGGTGTCTGGTTCTCCTGAAAACCAATGTAAAATTACCCTGGCCCACAATGGTATATTACCTAACTATAACAGTGAATTGAGTAGTTCTCACAATTTCCCCATTTCTGCTCATTTATCGATATCTAATGCTTTGATTCTATGTTATTACGATGAGTACCTTTCAATGTCTTCATCCAAAACGCTTGGAAATTTGAGTTTCTTCATAGTTTTTCGTATTTACTTTTTGTAACACTTTGGCTCACTGGAAATTAACAATCTCATCCTATATTAAATTTAATAATTTTTTGCTTCCAAGATTTGGAATTGTTATTTCTTGTTTGCACGTCGTAATAGGCATAAACTTTGTAAAAGTAAAGTTGTTATTGATATATATATATATATATATATATATATATATATATATATATATATATATATATATATATATATATATATATATATATATATATAAGGCAGATAGCTTAAGTAGATAGAATAAGTGTAAAGCCACTTATGTTTTAGAATGGAAAATGCCATATCTTAATCATGGTAAGTACGTTAATCGTTTACTCACTACAGTACAGCTCGCTGCATCAAAATATCTTTTTATAGTATTAAATAGCTACCATAATCACTGTTTAAGTTTGCAATGCGTTTAATTTTTAGAAAATTACTGAAATCCATGAACAGAAAACATGTGGTATACGACTCTATAATACTTTAGTATTATTCTGAGGTGTATGTTTGATTTTTCAACCCAGGTTTTCCATAGTGGTCTAGCTCCGATTGACTCATGATCTCAACTGTTTAAGTTACTACAATCTCCACAAAACCCCTCTGACACTAATCAACATATGCTAACTAGTGACTGGCTTCAAGATGTATATCCTGGAGTTCTAGTGAGAGGCAGTGACCAGTGGAATTCGACCGGGTCAGTTGTGAGGTAGTAACTCACTGATGACAATGGTGGATGTGTCGCTCGATTTTGTGCATTAGTTGAAGTTAGACATTAACACCGTTGGATGCCGCTCAGTGGTCTAGTTGGTTAAGCACCTGTCGCGAGGTTGATAGGTCCTGGGCTCGAATCGCGCGAGGCGGGGTCGTGGATGCGCACTGCTGAGGAGTTTCACAATAAGACGAAACGGCCGTCCAGTGCCCCCAGGTCTTCCATAGTGGTCTAGCTTCAATTGACTCATGACCTCAACTGTTTGATTTTTCTTTTCTTGCTACCTAAAAGTCGATGTATTTTGTATACAATACAATTGTTTGTTAAATAATTTACACAACTGAAGTTCTAACAGATAAATTCCCTAGTCGGTCTAAGCTAGACCACAGTTAGAAACTTGGAAGCACTGAACAGACACTCCGTTTAAGTACGGGACTCTTCAACAATGCACATACACGATTCCGCAAACGGAACTCGAACCCAGGACTTTTGACCTCTCGCGTGAATGCTTAACCTCTAGATCATTGAGGTGGAATCCAATAGTGTTAATTTTTAACTTCAATCGATCCATGACCCATGATTAACTCGACTGTTAATATAGTACAACTCTATACCGTTTCGTGTCACCATGACTTGTATTCAACGACTTGAACGTTATCTAAACACTATATTGAATTCTTTGCTTTTACGTATCCATGTCTAAAATGAGGCATTTATTGAATAGTCGATCATATTGATAACGAAATAAAGGATTATAAGCAAAGATGGATAGTCGCTAGCAGTGAAATCCAGTTTCACGCTCATTCTGTCCTATTTGGCAGTAGTCAGCTGGATATACCTGCATCTCAGAGTTGATGTTCACTCTGAGACGCGAACCGAGTACCGTTCGCTTCAAACACCATCGTGTTATCCGCTTGGCTACTGATTCCTAATAGCCATTTGCTTGTCCAATGAAGTGATCCGTATAGGATGTGCATATGCCAATAACAGACTGATCAATTGCAGGCCTAAACATCAATCAGAAGATTCAAACAAACAATACCGAATGCATTTGAAATAAATAATTATTTGATTAGTTGATTGAATAAGTCATTAGTTTAAACCCCTATAATTAGGTACGAATATTATTTAGTCGCGATATAACAGTAAGCATAATGCCATGTTATATGCTCCAAGTATTTACCTAAAATTTGTTTTTGGCTTTGAAAATTCTTAATCACCTATATCTAATCAGTCAGTAACAACGTAGACCTTCGTACGTACATACATCATTTCGAGTTGTCATATCACATTAGCACACCGATACAATTGTCGGTTCAAATCCCATAGTCGTAGAGATAGTAAAAGTATAAGCAGTAATCGGAAAGATTAGGGTTTGAAGATGTTATTCAATGAGTACAATCCAGTGAAATAGATTTGGAAAGAGAAAATAAAGAGATATGAAGAATTCAGAAGATTAGAATTTACGCATTTGACTCTGTTGATTATGAGGTTCTATGGCCCTGTCTGTCACTGAAAAGAGTACCAAAGAAGTACATTAAACTTATAAAGGCTCTCTACTCTCTATTCGTAAGTTACTAGTATTCGATCATAGGTATCTTCGAAGCATTACTCGTATATCCTGGGACCACCGTGTAAGTAACGCAGTTGTTAGAAAATGGGTACTAGGTAAGTATGGTAAATCAATTGATGAAGTAATGATACTATACCTTATAGCTTATTGTTATCATCTCACTTTCTATCGAACAACAATTGGCAAAGGATAAATTGGGTTCTAACGTGTGAATTCAGTAAGAATCCTATCAAATTTGGTAATAAGTTTCTATCCCACCACTCTCTTATCTGCTGTCTATTGTAACAATGACTAACAGTTTTCTACAGCTTTGTTTATAGGTCTTATTTTCTATCTTCCTCTATAGGCAATGATTGATATCATTTCTAATAAAGCTGCGTTCAATCAACCTTATAGAATAAAATCACCATTAATAAGAGAAGTAGCTGCTCAAGAATTATCAAGAAATCCTTATTTTTTAGCATCACATTCAATGAATAGTTCAATGATGAATCAAGTATTATATGAAAATAATAATAAAACACCAGATATGGAACAAGTTAATGAAACACCAGTTAGTAGAACTTCATTAGATCGACAAGCTTTACTTTTAGCAAAGTAAGTTTATTTTACAGTATGACAGTCAAAGATATATATGACTTAACTCTTTGAATTATAAATAAATTGCTTTGGAATAGGATCTGTTTGATTGATCGATTGATAATTCACCACAATCCATCAGTCCTATAAAACATATGATGAAATGACTATTTTTAGGTAATCTTCTAAGGATGCATATATTACCAACAAAGATTGATCAAAATGTGATCCCGATTATCAGACTTAATAATAATAATATAAAAATCAGACCAGTTGACACAATTCAATATCTTCTTAGACATTATAGTGTAACCGATAAACAGTTTATGTTTGAAGCAATAGGCACTGATTTTAACTCTCATTTTGAAAATTGGTACTAGTATGTTAATGAGTCCATCTGACTTCATTCCCACCTTGACAAAATCCAATTAAATGAGGCAATAATCTAACATTGTCTTATCTTTTATGTTTATAGAATTCTACAAATCCCATTCCTACTTTTAGCATAATTTTATTATTTTTAAGATATCGTAACAATAACATTTATAAGACATTTATATGTTCAGTATTATACTGTTCGATGTGTTTCATTTATATTTTTTCAATGTTTTATTGTTGAAGTAAAGAAAGTCTTGCACCCAAATTCCCTGGTACGGCCAAGAGTGAGAAGAGTCAGATCTCCCTCTCAAAATGCTCTCATATGGCCACGCGTATACAATTACTGTCAGGGAAGTCCTACTCACTGCCTTCTCAAGGCATTACTGTTGTTTACGAAATTGAGAGAACTAAAAGCGAATGTCCAGTACTCTAACCGGTTTGGTGGACACGGAGAGTCCACTTAGGGGAGTTGGAAAACCCTGATTTCAAACCAATAGTGCACATGGGCTCCAATATCCTGAGAGAACAAATGGCGTACGAATGAATTATCAGTCACCGGCTACGATGTGATTACGTCTCCTAACGTTACTCTACTGCCTTGTGAATCAAATCTTTGGGTCGAAGGCCCTGAGTGTGGTGCCTTAATAAAACCACCTACTTCAGTTTTCACAACCAGACCACACACAAATCAAGTGACTTGTGTGATGCATATGTATTCGCTGCCCCTTTGTACCAATATTAATGTGTTCAAACAAATAAATAAATAAATAACGTCACATTAATGTTGAGAATGAAATTACCTAACATACGTAAATACAACACGTATTATTTAATTTATTCAAAGGAAATATGAATTGTGATTACGTTAATTATCATATTCAGTCGAAATGCAAATAAAGGTATTGATTAAATGTAATGTAGTTGCTAAGTAAGCGATGTATAATGTTTCTCTTTACATAGGCTATTTATTCGTTGTTATAAGGTATGCAAAACTAATCTACAATCCTTGTTAGATAATTTTGTTTGGAGAATTTTGTTACTTTGGTTCAAATTCATTCACTATGATGTAGATTCATTGACTTTTTACTTCCTATTAGATTATGGGTTTTAGAAGTATTTTGTGCCTTTTGATGTATGAGCGAGGAAAATAATGACTGATTATTTGCTTAGTCAGACTAGTAGATAGTCTGACAGGTATTAGATAAGTTATATATTCTCTTACCCTTATTATTACTGTGATTGTTATCGGGTTTATAGAGTGGCTAGTCACGTATTCTTGTTCTGAGTTGTGTTGAAGTCTTGTAGAATAGACACTGGAAGGGTATCTAGTGTAGATAAATTAACGCCCTATTCGTGTAGACAGGGAAAATCGAGCGTTATAATACCTTTTTATTCTATAAATTCATTCTTCCATCACAAATCGTATTGTCTATGCTTAGTCTTATCTTTTACTTGTTAGACTGTTACTACTTTTACTACTGTATCCTTACATAGCATGGTAGCTTAAACCGAAATACGCGTATGCCACATTCCACATCGCTTATAACTAACTGATAGTTAATAAACTTGGTTTAAAAAAATAATTACAAAGAATTCATTCACTTGTGTAAGTACCGACGTCACCTTATTCACAGTACAGATAGATCTCTATCAATCAAGATATGTTATATGATCACATGCTTTAATGATTCGACAATATTTCTGTATCGTGTCTTCATATCATGTGGATACAGATAGTGGAAAGTTCGGAACTATAGTTTTTGATTGTTCAATACAAAATCATTGCTATCTAATCCTTTCAAATAAACAACCCAAATTACCATGGAGATAATTTGCAGAATACAATGAATCCACTGAACCATGTTTCATCCTCTTCAACTAAATATAAACTTAATAAGTATTATGTAATAAATTTAGCTATTTTGTATGTTACAATTCTTTAATAAGAGATAGTACAATAACCATTATGATCATTTTATCCGTCAATAAGATATAAAATCATCAAGATTCATCTTCAGCCATCGAAAAAACTACATAATTAAATTCACTTGATGTTGTTTACTTGTAACTTTCCATTGTTATTTAGGACTGCAATTGATCAGTCTCTTATTGGCATATATCCATCCTATAAGGACTGCCTCGATATTGCCTTACATCACAAGCTTTACAAGCAAAGGTGGATAGTGACTAGCAGTGGAATCCAGGACGCGCAAGTTTTAACTATGAGATGCAGGTGCATCCAGCTGACGAGTTCCACATAGAACGAAACGCGCATAAAACCAGATTCCACTACTAGCCACTATCCAACCTTGTTTATAAAAAAACTGCATAATTAGTTCTCTTTTTTCTTACTTTAGACAAAAACAAATGTTAGATGTAATAGATCTATTATTAAAACGTGGAGCAAATCCAAACACTGGTATACGACCATTACCAGCATTATTTCTAGCTGTACAAGCTGGTGATCCTGATATGGTTCGTAAATTAATTCAACATGGTGCAGATGCAAATATATGTTTACGTGTAGATGTAAGACTCGATTGCCTTTTTTTCTTCATTATACAGTGGTTTCGTGAAGTTTCATAATTAAAAGTTATGTTAAATGTTTATGTAAACTATAAAATTCACAAATCTCCTTATACAATTAATGATGACATCCTTATTATAGACTAATTTCGAGAAATGATTCCAAGAATGCTAATAGGGAGTCGTAATCAGTAGAGTTTAATCATATAAAAGGTGTGAGATAGTTATTTATCACAATGGGGTTGAAAAATGCTTAAGTAATATTGTTGATTAATTGAAGTTATAAATATAAACCCACAGGATAACAGATTAAGCTTTTGTTACTTGGGCTTGAAGGTCCTTGATAGGTCTATGAATGAACATTGCTGAGAAGGTACGTACTAGGGTAGAAAAGTTATCTAGTTTTTAATGATCGCTCAACAATGATCAGAAAGTAATATAAACTATAAACCTTAATCTTTATAAATCTCATACTAATAAGTGATACCAGTTGGTAAACAGATGCAAACTAAGGGGTACTGGATAGTTGTTTTATTCTAGTTTAAGATTTTTGCCAGGAATTTGAAGCAGATATCAAAAGAATAAATACTAACTTGAAAGGATTGCTCAGCACATAGTTCAATGGAGAATGCTGGTGGGTGCCCTTTGCTCCTCCACGAGGGGTAACAGATGTAAGTAAGCAAACTAGCAATAAACATACAATTTAGTCTATAACTGAACTTAGAATATACATACATATATATATTATCCAACCTCTGTAACCAATTTGATCGCTTTTGTACATAACCATATACAATTCGTGGTATTGTAGTGAACGAGAACACAAGTGGGGACAATCAAAAGTATTTGAACACACAAATTACAGAACAATTTAGTAAAATCTGAGTACCATACAGTAAACAACTCAGTTGGAAAATATCAATCAATCGTCTTAGACTTCATCGTTCCTTCGTTTTCACAGCAATCATTCTCTGTTCTCGTTCACTTTCCTTTGATCTTCTTAACCGTCTACCTTCAAACATTGCATTTTCGATTGATGATACATACTACTTATACCTGTCGACATCAGTAGTACAAACCACAATATGATTAAAATGGATGAATACGATAGTACGAACGAATGTTTATGGATAAGAAACATGACTACTTCCCCCACAACACATACCCTGTTCTATATTCTTTCTTTTTTTGTTTAATTAATAGAGAATTTCCGAATCTGAGAATCCTGTATTAAAAGGAATTTATATTGATGAAGATGAACCACCATTAATACCAAGCTTAGATGGTTTAACTGTTTTACATTATGCTGTACTTGTTCCAAATGAGATGGGTGTAAAATTAACAGAAATTCTATTAGAAGATGGTTTAGCTGATCCAAATAAACAAGCTACATTGGATGATAGTTTCAAATTAAAAAGTCAATTTAACACTTCAATAATATCCGTGAATTCAAGTGTATGTACATAAAAAGTATCATGTATAATCGAATCTGAATCAATTTATTACATAATTTTAGTAAAATATGGATTCATTTATGCTTAATTGTCATGCTTTGTATACTATGACATGCAAGATTGTACATATAAGATGTAGTAAACCTATAAGTGAATTGAAGCCAGATCACCATGGAAAACCTGGAAGCACTGGAAGGCCGTTTCGTCTTGTTGCGGGACTCCTCAACAGCGCACACCCACGATCTCACCCTGCAGAATTCGGACCCAGAACCTATCGGTCGCGCGCGTGAGCGCCTAACCTCTCGACCACTGAGCCGGGATTCAACGGTCATAATGTATAACATCAACCAATCCACGAATCTTGAGATGTGGGATTGTGTATGCTCACTGCTGAGGGATCCCATACTAGGACAAAACGGCCGTCCAAGGCTTCCAGGTTTACCATGATGGTCTAGCTTTAATTCACTCATTAATTTAAGTATCAAAATTTACTATAATATCCACAAAACCCTTCTCTGGTTATGAATAAAAGTTGACTGAAGATTTCCCCTTACTAGTCTGCAGATTGTCACTAATCTAATTATTTATGAAATCACGACGTTTTTAATGGTATTAAGTAACAGTTGAATTTAGTAAATATGGTTTGATAGAGTGAGTGATTTTGTATATTGTTGTTCAAGAAATTTGTATTTTACTGAACCTGATTCTTAGTTCACAATTTAAAAGTTGAAGGCATTTCTCAATTATCCATGTGTCTACTGGTAATCAGATATCATAGAACATTTATTCCAAACTTACATTTGATTTAATCCTTGTATTACTTACTTACTGACGCCTGTTACTCCCAATGGAGCATAGGCCATTGACCCGCATTCTCAAACTCACTCTGTCATGGGTTTTCCTTTCTACTCCTATTAAATGGTTGTTCATTCTTCTCATGTCGGCTTCCATTTTTCAGTACAATATGTTCTTTTGTCTAACTCTCCACCCTTGGCCTTGAGGATTCCGTGTGAGGGATCGCCTTTTGACGCAGTTGGGTGCTTTCCTCAATGTGTGTCCTATCCACTTCCAGCACGTCCCTGATTTTTTCCTCCGCTGGGATCTGATTTGTTCTCTCCCACAGTAGGTTGCTGCTTATAGTGTCTGGCCGACAGATCTGAAGCATTTTACGTAGACGAAACAGCTGGTGAATACATCCTGAATTTTAGTGTTCCTTCTCCCCCCGTCAGCTTATATCAATTTATGGCAAAAATAACCTTTAGATATTAATAAAAGAATATGTAAAACCCTAATTTTAATTTTATATATCCCTTTAAATTTTAGGTGCATATGCATTTATTCGTGTAAGCTCTAACCATCTGTATGTTTTGTAGTAATCTTTACCCCCCACTTACATTTTGTCATCTTCCGTCTCTTACTTATACACGAGAGCATATATTAAGATACATTATATGTATAACTATTAATGATAATCTGTCCTCTAAATGAACTGATATTTGTGAATCTTTATCTCGCGAGGCTGGATCGTGGATGCACATTGCTGAGGAATCCCATACTAGGACGAAACGGTCGTTCAGTGCTTCCAGGTTTTCCATGATGGTCAAGCTTCAATTGACTTATTATCTCAACTATTAAAATTATTATTACATCCACAAAACCTCATCTGAAATTACATAATAATACCTCGAATTGACTGGACTTAAACGTATTAAAAATTGAATGATAAAATAGTGATGTAATGATAACATGTTCACTATGAGGCTTGAATATCTTGGGATTGATCCTTGCTAGTATCGTGAATACCTACTATTGGAAAGTTTAGTAGTAATATAAAAGTTTCTAAGTCTTGATTTACTGTTCAACGGTTGATTTTAACAGGTTTAAACCGTTCTTCAACTGATCATTCTTGATGTTTTAAAGATATACTTTACTACAAAATGCATGAAATCACATTATTCACAGGATGTATTCACTAGAACTGTTTAAACATAGTTATAAAGAAAGATTCCGTTTTTTTTTCAACATGGATAGTTCTATTCCTTTTAAAATGATGCACATTTATTTTGTAATTGAATTTACTCATTATTTGCACAGTTTACATCCATCATTTTGTTTTGGTAAAAATACACCAGTTTCTTTTTTCTTTATCACAAGATATATGTTGTAAATGAAAAAGGTATTACTAATTACTACTTGCGTATACATTTCACGATGTTACTTACTTTATGAATGCACTGATGATATCTGCTATGTTGTGTTATTATTAGAATACAAAAGTTTGTAAAGATTTATTCCAGTTGGAATATTATTAAAACCATGAAGTACTAGATGGTTGTTTCTTCCTAGTATAAAATTCATCAACAGTGTTCAATAGTAATCTCAATGGTGATCAAGATGAAGAGTTTAAGACATTGTAGTGACTGTAATTATCATGTAATTGGTATTTTAAAAATTAATCAACATGTGATATTCAGTGACGATTATCTTTTGTATTTGGTGATATCTAGATAATGCTCACCCCACCCCATAATATTCACTAATGATTAGACAATTAGGACATATGAACTATCTAATACTTTCGATTTTCACAGGGTATTTGGTGGTCAAATTAGGTTCATAATGTTACGTATTTTATAAATATTCTCAAACGTTTTCACATTGTTAATACATTCACTGAGATATCTTAATCTTTTTATCATTATTTCAAGGAGCTAAATTCAGGCAAAACAACACCTGAAGAAAATAGAATGAATGAAGGTCGAACTCCATTACATTTGGTTTGTTCCCGTGAATATGATTTACTGGTAAATGATTTCATTATAATTGAACTACAACCAATGACTTCCAACATAGGTAAATGCATTTCCTACACTCCTACCTAACAGACTAAGCTAATAAGAGAACTAAGTAATCACTAGGAATCTATAACTGGCAAAACCGATTCAATTGATATGCAAACTATTAGTATGTATACAATTATTCTTCTGATTTGATTATCGACATATAGGCTGTAACTCTTACTAGGAGAATAGTCAGTATGTTTTATTTGTAATTCCTTATTTACTGTGAGACTTTGAAACAGTGTGAAATCATAGGTACATATTATGCCTAGATTCACTTAGACTGTCATGAATCATAGCTGATTCATTTAGAAGGGTTAATGCGTGAGAACATGTAATATTTACTAAGTATATCATTTATATCCCGGTGAGAACTATGAATGGTAGTTTTTAAGAACTATTTATGGACAAACATTAAACGTATATTCCCAATGTATAACTATTTAGTAGATAGATTATGTATGTATATATATATATATATATATATATATATATATATATATATATATATATATATATATATATATATATATACTGCTCTTATCATAAGCTTTATTTCGATTTATGGATTATTATTATACAATTTACTATTCTCAAGTTATTCCCAATCCATTAGTTACAGTCTTTCATAATCGCAGCCACTTTTGGACTTCATCTTGTACAAATTTTATCTTCTATTTATGGTGTAATGTGGTCTATGTGGTAGGTATATAAACTCAGTATGTTTGAAATACATGATTCCAAACTCAGAGGCTGAGATTGGTGTACTGGACTTAAAAGGTTGGAATAAGCAGGGAGAAAGACCGATAAAGACTCTAGACTGCTCGTACGAGTCTATGTGTTATTGTTCTCTATTTCAGTCAGTCAGTCAGTTACAACGTAAAATCTGGCACATATATGCATCAGTTCAAGTTGCCATATCTCATTAGCACAACAACATAAACAACGGATTCATAGAAGCAGTTAACTCAATGGTGGTAATGTATAAAAGAAAGATTACATATAAGAACACAGTACAGGAAGAAATAATTAGTTCGTAGAAAAAAGGATATGAAGCAATTTTAGTCTCATGGTTTAAGGGGAGATAAAGAGTGTGTACACCTATACCATTGTGATCGATTTTGAGCCATGTTACACACAGTCTACAACCACTGGTTACGATAGTCATGCGGACCACAACCAAGTGTTCTGCATCTAACGACATGACTAAGACTAGAAGTTAGTGACTTCAAGCACTGATGCCCAGTTTTGGTTTAGCCACCCCTAACATTCTTCCAACTATCTCCAACATCACTCATCGGCTAGCCATAATAAAATCTACTGAAACCGAATCACGAAATCATCAGTCAATTGATGAGCGAATTTCTATTTATTGAAAAGTAAATTGTTATCCAATTAATACTAGCTCACAATGCAAAGAAATTCTACAAACGTATATTCTAAAACTTATGTAAAGTATGAATAGATCTTCATTAGTAACTAGTTTTGAAATCAGTTTACCGAAAATCTATTGAGAAACTATTAGAAACCAGTGGAGTTTAAATTATTTAAAAGTGCTACACAGGATATTTGACGAGTTATTTCATGAACTGAATAAGGAAATGTTAATAAAAGCCATTGTATTTACATTTACTGATCCAGATGTATAGGGCTCAATATATAATCTAAAAATATAAGGTTCAGTTTTATAGAACGCCATGATCGATCATCGTTAACGAGTTCAAAACTAAAAAGGGTGAGACTATAATTTATGGATGAACCAATCAGGTATTAGATAACAGGTTTCGAATTTTGACGCGAAAGTCAGTCATCCATTTTAGTTTTCACATTCTAGTTCGTAATGAAAACTATAAATCAAATTCCTAACCTTAACCATCAACTGTAAATTACAATTCTAATTTCGCACACAGGTTTATAACCCTCATTTGCTCCTGGTTATTAAGTGGACACTCTCAAGATCAGTCTAGCGTCGCTCAAATGTCGTCCATAAATTATAGTCTCACTCTAAGAAGAAATAACTATTTATTGCTTCGTAGTTCTCAGTTTATTATTTGAACAAAAGCCCTAATATATTGATTACAGAATGAAATGAACTCAATTCTCACTGTAACTTTCTTTTTATATCCATTAGAATTCAGCTGTCATTACAAAATGCCTTTTAAAGCATAATGCTAATCCAAATTTATTGTGTAACGGTCATTCAGCGCTCAGTGTTGCTATAGCAACTGGAAACGATCCAGTAGGTTTTTTTCATTTGACATTCAAACTAATATTTTGGGTTATTTTCTTTTTAACTTTTCACTATAATACTTGTAACATTAAATGTTTCTATCTCTCTATCTGAAATTCGGTGGGGGTGTTGTTTATGAATTGAGAGGATGAAAAGCGAATGTCTGGCGCTTTAACCGGGTTGGTAGATACTCAGAGTCCACCTATGGGAGTTTGAAAATCCTGAATCCAAACTAATGGTGCACATGGGCTCCAGGATCCTAAAGGAACTAATGGTGTCTGAACCGATTGTTGGTCAACGGCAACCATGAGACTGCATCTTCTAACGTTGTTCCACTGCCTTGTGAATCAGACTTTTAGGCCGAAGGCTCCCTAGTGTGACCCCTAAGGAAAGCACTTCCTTCGGTTTGGGCACCCGAACAGTATCCCAGACCTTACACAAACCGAATGATCTATGTGGCGCATATCTATTTGATGCCTTCTTGTACCAATATTTATATGCTTAAATAAATAAATAGATAATCCATTTCCGAAACTCCCCATGTGACTCTTTTTAATGTCATAATCAGTAGTTGATACTCAATTGGATACAATTGGGTACAATGGTAAAGTCAGGTGTAAATAGATTATGCATATTTAATGAGTCTATTTAAGTTTTTTTACAGGTTATCCTGTCTAGACATTGACAAATCAATAAAGTGTAATTTCATCTTAACGAATTCAGTTTATTAACTTTCCCGAACCCTTGTAAAGACTTCAATGGATTTGTAAGAGTCCTTACACAATTCTGTGTTAATTTCATGTATTCAAGCTAAACATTAGGAGCTAAGGGGTGTAATGATATTTTACTGACACATGAATAGACAAATTTCGTACCAAAACCAAAGAGAATCTATATGATTAGGTCGTTCGTCAAATATAGTCCTACTCAAACTATAGAGAAAGACTTGGACATTTACCACGTCTGATACTATCACTCATACTGTCAAGTGGCAGAAAATAATTTTTCTTTATTGTTTTATACACTTTAAGTAATTTACGAAGATATTTCTGTTATTCATTATAAATTGTATTTGAATTTTGCGCAAAACACCTTAAAGTCGGATTCTCTATTCTGATTGGTTCATCCCTACACCATATTTTTACCTGTTTTCTTTTCAAAGTAACATAGTGACTAGCGTTGAGATTCAGAGCACTGTGAATAAATGGCAGTATCGAAGCTGACCTTTCAAAATGTGAATATGTCATTAGAGACCAAGAGATTTCAGGTTTGAACATTAACAACGATTAAGTGAAAGCCTTTACAATGATCGCCATTGTTAGAAAAATAAATTATTTAAAAATATCAGATTGAGGGATTTTGTGGAGATATTTGTAATTTTATAGTTGAGTTCATGCGTTTATTAAAGCTAGATCACCATGGAAAACGTGAAAGCACTAGACGGTTGTTTCGTCCTAGTATGAGACACATCAGCAGTGCACATCCAAGATCGCGTTCTTAAGATTCGAACCCGGGACCTATCGGTCTCGTATGCGATCACTTAACCTCTAGACCACTGAAACAGCATTCAATGTTGTTATTGTCATGACTTGTACATAAATTCAGCTTTGTTTCGTTTCATTTACGTTTTATTTTTGTTTTCAATATTATTTTGTTTTAGTGTATTAATATCTTAATAAATCATCAGAATACAAATATTAATCAACCATTAGGAGATGGTTTAGGTTCAGCTCTTTGTATTGCATGTTCAAGTTTATTTGAATTTAGAAAGTCAATTGAATCACGCTTAGAATTAATCAAATGTTTAATTAACAAAGGTGGTATTGACAGTTTTAAATCATTTGTTTTATTAAAATCCAAGGGAATTTCCGGTGAGTTTACTACATATTTTTTCAATTAAACATGAACTCAAAGAATAGATAATATCTTTTTTTCATTTAGCTAATGATCACTACTTTATACATAGCCCACAAATACCCTGATACGGTCGAGAGTGGGAAGAGTCAGCTTTCCTTTTCCAAATGTTCTCATATCGCCTTGCGTATAAAGCCACTTACAGGGTAGTCCTATTCACTACATTTTCAAAGCATTACTGTTGTTTACTAAATTGAAAGGATGAAAAGTGAATGTCCGTCATTTTATCCAAGTTAGTGGACACGGAGAGTCCACATAGAGGAAATGGAAAGCTCTGATTCCAAACCAATGGCGCACATGGGTTGCCTCCAGGATCCTGAAGGAACAAATGAACGTACTGTTGGTCACCGGCTACCATGGGACTGCATCTGCTGACAATGCTCCACTGCCTTGTGGATCAGACCTTTAAATCGAAGGTTCCGGGTGTGGCCACCTAAGAAAACCACCTACTTAGGTCAGGGAACCCGAGCAGTATCAGAGACTAGACCTACACATTAGTTTTAAGTCCCAGGTTCACCGTACTTACCAATACTCCTATCTAATTGATTCCAACTTATAATGTAATGTAACTTTAAATCAGACACAAACTCCATAAAACCAACATAAACCAATCTATGTATTCGTATTTAAAAACACCGAATACAGTGGTCTTCAGTTCTGTTAGAGGTATGAGGGCGTTTATCTTTTCCCGGTTACCCACGCAGTTGAAGGGTTCTTCTGGAGGCACCTGAAAAGCAAATTGAATTAGCGATGGTTTAACTGACCTGAGAGCGGGACCGCGGTGCCCAAGGAACACCTGCCAAAGGTCGGTCATGTACAACCTTTTTGTGGGTAATCTTTGTGTCAGATTCGTACTTGTTGAAACCTTACCGCCGGAGACGAATATCCATGGGATAAGGTGAGGTGTGCATTTTTGAGATCGATCTTTTCAAACTACACCTATCCTTGTGGGAAGGCAGCATCACTTTCATGACTGTTGTCTGGAGGAAACACCTTACTGCCGTTACACCTCTGTACAGTCAGTAGTACGACTTCACCTTCGGACCTTGGGTTTGCTGCTTTTAGTCTTACCGTTCTCCAGTCGACCTGTCTGGGATGGTAGGATCTCGAGAAACGATTGTTCCAGCCAGTATAGCTCGACTGGTTTATCACGACAGGCAAGCCCGACCACTATGTCAAGATAGCAACAACGGTCGGGTAATGGGAGGTATGACAACTTGAACCTGTGCAAATATGTGCCTGGTACTAAGTTTAGCTGACTAACTGATTTAGAAACACCGTGAAAGTATACTTCATTGACAAGTACTTTGTAGCCGTATTTATATCTAAGTTAACAGAGAATGTTTTCACCTCAAATCTCAAGAACAAATATGTTACTGAAATGGGAGATTATGTGCAACAATCCAAAGTTGCTACATTAAACTTGATTAGTTTATTAACAAAGTATATTTATCATAATAAATCTCTTATATATGTTTTCTTATTATTATTGTATATGACAGGGAACGTAATAGATTTCACTTATATGGATTATGCAAAAGATACAAGAATTTCTAAAACACCATATCACGCATTAAATGAAATTGAAAAAGAAACTTATAATGGAAGAATGCAAATATTAACTTATTTAGCTAATCGATTAAGAGAATATGCTTATTCAATAGAAAGTCTTATTGATGATGATAATCACAATATTGAACAAATAAATTTAGATCGAAATGAATTAAAAGATAAACAAGACAATTGTCCTATTAAAACATGTAAGTATAACTACGTTTGTTCAGATTATGTAATAATAGTGAGTGAGTAACTCAAGAAGGTTTGATATGATGAATATACTGCATGGCAGTTCGTTCTGTTCTACTTTATGGCTGCAAAATGTGGCCTTTAAGAGTAGAAGATACTTGTAAGTTACTAGTATTTGATCACAGATGTCTTAGAAATATTGGTCGCATCCGCTAGGATCACCAGATAAGTAGAGGTAGGATATTGGAGAATGATGGCAAATTAGTTTGTGAGATTGTGAATCTTCATCGACTAAGATGGTTGGGCCACGTGTTACGTATGCTTGTTCATCAATTATCACGATGCGCAATTCTGACTGGTGTTGGAGATAGTGGAAGAAAGTTTTGGGCGACCAAACCGTAACGTAGCATTAGTCGTTGAAGTCACTAACTTCTAGCGTGAGTGATGTTGTTAGATGCAGACTACTTTGTTGGGGTCCGCGTGACCATCATAACCAGTGGTTGGAGACTGTGTTGATACTAGCATTGAGGCTTGAATCCAATATTATTTCACTTTAAATGACCATGCATTATCTACTGATCTATCGAGCCCGGATACACATTAACTTTTTCAATCGGCACAAAGCTATTTACGTGAAATAGTATAAGTTTTCTCTTTATTTGGGATAATGATCTTTACTTGGTCAGCTATACCAAGACATATATTCTTGAGAAACTTATTTTACTTACCATCCTAAATTCATATCCTGTATTATTTTTAAATGGATCTGTTACTTTTAATCTTTTTGTTGGAGTTTTGTTCTCTGAACTGGGTGGTTTAGTCGTAGAGCTTTCATCGTTTTTCTGAACGACAACATCAACACAAACATCAGGGAGAAGTGAAGTGTTCGAATTTCTCCTCATGTGGTTCACAGCTTGTCCTGTACACCTCGATGTTGATTGGTTCTTGTTGACCTTAAACCTGTCATTGCTTACTTCTTTATTTTGATTGTATCTCTCATTGGTTTTGTTTTTATTCCGATGTTTGTGCATAATTTTCTAGATTTCGTTGATAAATTGAATCGATTTCAATGTGCTTGTTGATCATCAATTCGAACTCTTAACTGTAGGATTCAATGAAAAATTTCTTGAAAAGTATGGTGATTAAATTCTATAATCCTGTTTTTTCTTTTTCAGCATCTTCTAAACCTTCGCGTCAAGAATCACCGACTTATCTCAAGAAAAACAGGTTTGTGTACACTAGATTTTTTTCAATTTTTTGAGACATTCAATAGATATAGATAATTAGAATAAACAATGAGTATAGAGCAGTGGAGCTTAATAAGTTTTTGATTGAGATCATGAACTGATTGATGTTAGGTCACCATTAAAAACCCGCGAGCGAGATCGTGGATGCACACTGCTGAGAAGTCCCACAATAGGACGAGACGGCCGTCCAGTGCTTCCAGGTTTCCAAAGGTGGTCTAACATCAATCGGTTCATGATCTCAAACGAAAACTTAATAATCTCCACAACCTCTATACTAGTAGTCACGTTTGGTTAACTCAACTGAAGCTAAATGAACTTTAGTACAAGTTTTAGTTATACAATATGCCCTTGTGGGCCACGGTAATTTTACATTGTTTTTCAGGAGAACCAGGCACCATCCAGACTTTCACGTGACAACGCAGACAGTACAGCTCGATCCCACTTCACAGAAAAATCAGACACCGTATAGGCTTTAACGCTACAATTTGAATAGTACATCTCAATCCTGTGGCGCAACCATGCAGGTACCAAGCACCCTGGTGGATCATTCGCAATATTCACATACACATTCGCGTCACATGTATAGTTATTCCGATCAATGATCACGTGGATCAATTATGCACAACACGAACAGGCCAGAATTGACCTATTCCGCTTACACGAAAGTCAAACTCATTAATGTTAGGGATGACAACATGCCTTACAATGTCCCAATGACAATGGCCCTTGAGAACACTGAAAAGGAACCACCAGTATAAATGAAATTGGTTTACCAGCAAACCAGTTTTGTGCATAAACAGTCATCAAAACTTGCTAAAGTAATACCGAACCATCCACAATATCAATGGTGAACCTCCAATCTTATATGAGACCTTCAGATCTACATAAGAAGATAGCTCATACTAAATACAACACATATGTGGGGTAGTAAACGAAATAGCCCAGCCTGAGGCGTTAGGGTTTAAATAACGCTTAAAACCCATTGTCTGGTGTCGGGATACTATTACTAGACCACCAAGATCATTTTTTTCGTATTTGCAAAATTTTCATTTTTCCTACTTTTTGGACCCTGCCTGAGTTAGGGGTAGTATCCCTGAACTTTACTGCTGAATGACGTTTATTATGTTTCCACAAGCAGCGTGAATTTTTTAGTCATCAGCCAATTTGCATCGTGTAATAGCTATTTATAAGTCAAATCATTTTGTTAATTTCTTTGAAATCGTGAGCCGATGAGTGTTAGACCACTATTTGAAACTTGGAAGCACTGGAGATATGACTCTTTAAAAGTGCTTATCCACGACCTAAAGTCCCACGCTCAAACGATTAGATCCTCGAGTGTAGGGTAATGGATGCGGATTATTGAGGAGTTCTATTCTAAAAAGAAAGCCATTTGGTGCTTCCAGTTTTTTTATTGGTGATCTAAAACTCATCAAAAGGTGCAGAATTTCAACCACTTATCTTGTATTACTTCATAACAACGACTGATGAAACTCAGGACATAGTGGTTCTTCATCTTACTTTTTACGGGGACAGTGTTAAGCAGTGTTTAAGAATGCCAAACAATGACCAAACGGTAGTTCACCACCCCCTACTAATTCTTAATGGTTTTTCAGACAATGTTGGTTTATCATCAAAACTAACTTTAAATTAAATAATCTCTACAAATTTCAATTATTGTTTAATACATTCTAATTTTCTTTGCTTTTTAGTTGTATATCCTATTCGTTTTGCTATGAATGTGGACGTTCTGTCGGTGTACGTCTAACAGTATGTTCACGCTGTCATAGAGTATATTTTTGTTCCAAAGTTTGTAAATTAAAATCATGGACAATGCGACATAAAAACGAATGTTATTTAACTCCAGGTAAATGAAGTATAAGTAACTCTTAAGAATTTTAAATCTCATATCATTGTTGTTTTCATTAAGAAACTTAAAAAATAATTGATCAGTTCTATAAGCAAAGATGGATAGTGGCTAGCAGTGGGATCCAGGACTCACGGTCCTATTTGGGACTCGTCAACTGGATGTACTTACATCCTATGGTTGGTGTTCATTGTAAGACTCGAATGCAGTACCGTTCACTTCAAACGCCATCACGTTATATATCTGAGAATTTTACAGTAAATACTCCGTTTGCAAAATAGCAATCAATCGTCTCAGACTTCATTGTTCCTTCTTTTCCACACCAATCATTCTTTCTTCACGTTCAATTTTTTTAATCGTCTTAACCTTCTGTAGTGTCGGTTATTATGTTAAGCCCATATACCTTATTGCAGCTTTCGGACAGGCCAATCTATTCATTCTACTGGAGTCACATTTTTACCCTGTTAATTACTTACTTATTCACCTTGACTGTTTTTTTATATGAGCATATGTGTGTGTACATCTTATCCTACTCACTACGTGTCTGTAGCTTATTTTTATGTGACTATAAATATCGAAGAACGCTTGGTTAAATCGAGTTGGCTCACACACCTCTGTTGCGCGTCATTTCGCTTCGCACTCTTCTCTTCACTTCTCTGATCTTTTGTCTTGATCAATGAGTATACAAAATATACGTACTCGAAATTCGTTCTTGTACTTGATTTATTTAATCCCGTTATTGACTAACGCGATTTAATTCGATGATGATATACGAGGATCTTCCAATTGATGGTTAGGACTGTAATTCATCATTCTCTTATTGACATATGTGTATAATGTGAGTAATACCTCGATATGGCCTTAATTTACAAGCATTCTAAGCAAAGATGGATAGTAGGCAGTAGTGGAATCAAGAATGCGTGTTTCATCCTATTTGGGACCCGTGAACATTAACTCTGAGATGCAGATACATTCAGCTGATGAGTTCCAAATAGGACGAAATGCGCGTCAAACTGGATTCCACTGCTAACCACTACCCATCTTTGTTTAGACAGCACTAAATAGTTTAAAGTTATTTAAAGACTATATTTAACGAGTACAATCTATATTTCATTGTAATTATAGAACTTCAAACTGAACGAGATCGACGAAGTCCTACAAAAGCTCTACCAAAACTTACAGCAAATAAACAAGTGAGTAAATATAAAATTATTCAATAATTGAATTCATTCATGAATTCAATTGAAGCTAGACCACCATGAAAAACCCAGAAACACTGGATGGCCGTTTCGTCCTAGTATAGGACTCCTCAGCAGTGTGCATCCACGATCTCGCTCTGCGAGATTAATGCCATTGGATACCGGCTCAGTAGTCTACAGGTTAAGCATTCACACGCAAGACCGATAGATCCTGGGTTGAAATCTCGAGGGGCGGGATCGTGGATGCACACTGCTGAAGAGTCCCACAGTAGGATGAAACGACTGTCCAGTTGTTCTAGGTTTTCCATGGTGGTCTAGCTCCAATTGACTTATGAATTCAACTAATAAACTACTATAATATCCATAAAACCCCTCTCTGATTATAATCATCATATGCTCACTAGCGGACTGTCTTCAAGAGGTATTTCTTAGAGTTCTAGTGAGAAGCAATGACTAGTGGAATTCAACCCGGTCTGTTGTGAGATATTAACTCACTGAAGACAACGGTGGATGGTGACGCGATTTTGTGAATTCGTGGAAGTAAGACATTAACACTGATGGATGTTGGCTCAACGGTCTACAGGTTAAGCGTCCGCGCATCAGACCGATAGGTCCTGGATTACAATCTCGCGAGGCAGGATCGTGTATGCGCACTACTGAGGAGTCCCATACTAAGATGAAACAGCTGTCCATTTCTCCTAAACATTTCATAATCTTCTACCTTTAATTGACTCATGATCTCTCAACTATAAAAATTACTAAAATCTCCATAGAACCCATCCCTAGTTCTAGCACTGTTACCTTCGTTTTTTTTTCTTTTCTTTTTTTCTTTTCTTTTCTCTTCTCTTTTTTATTTATCCAGGAAAAACATCAACAATCAATACAACAACAAAATATAAATCATACATTAGATTGGAATTTATTAAATCATTTAACATGTTGTACAAGTAGTGGTGAATTCATTGGTATTTTATATCATCCAAGTTATTATTACCAATATATATTAAATCATTATTTAAAAATTAATGAAAATGGTCATATTATTATTGGGAAATATAATGGTAATGGAAATTATAGTCTAATTTAATGACATTCATATAACTCATTAGATTAAAAAAGAGAAGTTCTGTGTTTTCTTTTCTTTTTTACTTTCTTCAAGTTTTCTTTTTTTTGCAAACGATTAAATATTCCATTTTATCTATTTCTTCCACTACTTATTTGTTTGTTTGGTCGTTTTTAAAGAAGGAAAAAAAGAAAGAAAAACTAATAATGACAATAATCTTATGTCAAAATGAAAAGTATTTTATTGTACATTATGAAATTTAAAAAGATTTATGAAAACAATTAAATTTATATCTGTTTATATGTGTTAGATTTATTGAAACATCCAGGGTCATCTAACTGAGAAGTTCACAAAACAATGGTTTGTCTAAAATAGCGATTCTTTATTGAATAATATTTATTTTATTTCAACACATAGATATTGGTACAAGGAGGCACTAAATACATATGCGCCACACAGATCTCATTTATTATGTGTCACGGTTGTGATATTACCCGGGTTCCCAAACCGAAGAAGGTGGTTTTCTTAGGGGCCACAACCGGAGCCTTCGACCTGAAGGTCTAACCCACAAGGTAGTGGAGAAACTTAAGGAGATGCAGTCCTATGGTGGCCGGTGACCAACGATTGATTCATACGCCATTAGTTCCTTCGGGATACTGGAGGCAACCCATGTTCAACATTGGTTTGGAATGAGGGTTTTCCAATTCCCCTATGTGGACTCTCTGTGTGTACTAACTCGGCTAAAATGACAGACATTCGCTTTTCGTAAACAACACCCGCTCCACGAGAATTCAGTGAGTAGGACTTCCCTGGCAGAGGCTATATACGTGTGGCCATATGAGAGCATTTCGAGGGGGAAAGCGGACTCTCTCCAATATGCAAAAATTAGTCACAAAGCTCAGCTTGTGAGGTATCTGTGGCATTTAACATGTCCTTTTGTATAAAATAAAAAAGGCTTCGATAGTGTAAAAGACAGCTGATAGCTGCGTCTAATACTTGATAACAGTTTGTCAACAAGCAAAACACGAAAATAGAACAAACAATATGGAAGCCGTTGCATTCAAACAAAGGTTAAACAAAAATGCACAAAATTGAAGATAACTACTACAGTGATTGAGATAAAGTAATTATAATGACAAATACAATAAGGGTCATAAGTATATGTAAATATTTAAGAATGTTCACAACTTGCATTACAACATAAGTTTGAAAATTGCTGGGAATACAACTATTTACTGGGTTTAAATAAGGAGTATAAAACAATATACAAAAGATTGGAAGAGAAGCGAGTAGAAACAATGTAAAGCAAACTTAACAATATCATTGAATAAACTTATCTAGACAACTGGTGAAAACCAAAAAGTAGTGAACATCAGTATAAGGTTGTGGAGATTATTAAGTTTTTGTTTGTGATCATGGCGTTAGATCACCATTGAAAACCTGGAAGCACTGGACGGCCGTTTTGTCCCAATGGGTAACTTCTTAACAGTGAGAACCCACGAACCCACTTGTGGGATTCGAACCACGGGCTTTCGGTCTCGTGCGCGAACGTTTAACCTGTAGACCACTGAGCCAACCGGCATCCAACGGTGTTAATGTCTAACCTCAACCAATCCACAAAATTGAGCGACCATCTTTCATTGTACTGAGGTAGAGACCTGTCTCTACCCGATACGGATCGACATTTTGTAAATGAAGTATTAACTGTGTGGTTCTCAGATTTTAATAAGATATTCTGTAATGCCATTTTCAAATACATTCGATCGTCCCCACTTTTGTTCCCGTTTATCACATTAGGACCACGACTGACATCTTACGACAGAATTACTGATTTTAAGAAAAAATCCACTACTACTACTACTACCTTTATTACTGATTCCATCATTACTCACGGTTCTCTTTGTGTTAGTGTATACGTAATCACATAATAAAGTTCTAATAAGATTTACAAATTCATAACCAAAAAATTAAAGGTATATTATAAGTTAACTCATACATTCTCTTGAGATTTATTACAGTAATAGTGATAGTTCACATGAATGTATATCAAACCAGGCATATTACAATACCCAACACATATCTTATATTCTTAAAGATGTGAAAGGTACTTCACCAAGTTGTTCGACAATTGATCGTTGTTTTCGAGCTACGCTTGTAATTTCACATGGTATACACTGATATGTATCAGAAATTTCTTGCTAAATATTCAATAGGAAAGAAAAAAGAAAAGAAAGGAAAATCAATCGATTTTTTTTCATTACTTTTTGCTTGTTTTAGTTATGTTTAAAAAGCAAAATCCTCAAATACTACACGGAGAACACTAACACAATCAAACTTGATGGAGAAGCTCTTGAAGATATGGAATCTTTCATATACATGAGAAGCATCGTCGATGAACATGGAGGATCGAATGCAGACATAAAGGCGAGGATTGGCAAAGCAAGGGCAGCATTCCTACAATTGATGATCATATGAAGCCGAGTTCAAAACAACTGTCAATCAACATCAAAGTCAAAATCTTCAATATGAACGTCAAGACAGTTCTACTATATGAAACTTGAAGAACTACTACAACCATCATCAAAATGATACAAGTATTTATAAATAGTTGTCTACTCAAGATATTCAGAATCCATTGACCGGATGCTATCAACAACAGCTTACTGTGGGATAGAACAAACCAGCTTCCAGTTGAAAAGGAAATTAGGAAAAGACAATAGAAATGGATAAGACATACATTGCGGAAATCATCAAACTGCATCACGAGGCAAATTCTAACTTGGAACCCTGAAAAGGAGCGGAAAGATTGAAGGTCGAAAAACATATTATGTCGGGAAATGGAAGCAGATATGAAAAGGATGAATAACAACTGGAAAGAATTGCCTAGGACGTGTTCGGATGGAGAGTGCTGGTAGGTGGCCTATGCTCCTCCATTAGGAATAACAGGCGTAAGTAAGTAAGTAAATAATGAAGTATTAAAGATTTAGCTGTATTACGGTTTAATACAAACCTTGAACTGGCAATTTATGAGAAGCTGTCATAGTAGATAACATTAGATCAAATCAGTTCGTTTGGGAACTTTATAATGAGTTTTAAGACAGCAGAATTGTCCATAAATAGACATTGAAGTCAGATAACTCAATTTCAATAGTTGGACTATTCTCAGATTAACTTATCCAGATAAATTGTATTGACAATTAACACACTATCTAAAGTAAACTGGCCTAAAGTAACCGAGGTTGTATAATAAATTAAATGTAAATGTTGGCAAGTTATTATAAGTATATGGATTGTTCACTTAGGCAAAGCATATCCTTTTGTAAACAATATTGATCATTCTAACTACCTATAAATACACTTAACTTTTAAGTATCACTTTCTCTCCACAACCTTTACTACAAGGTTGTATTCTTCTTATGTTTAGTTTATACATTTAACAAGAACAGAAGGGTGATAACAATGTCATTACTAAACATACTAACCAACTGATGAGACGTTGGATCAGTTGGATAGAGTCACATTTGACCAGAATATAAACAATAATAATTTGCTTATTCGTGGTTAGTTTCATGATGAATTCACAGAGTCAGTTAGGTTTTGAATGATACAGTAACTTGCTGATGATACTGTATGAGACTTGTATTATATTGCCTGTTTAGGAGGTGGGGGGGCTGAAAATGTATATATACAGTTCACCGAAATTCCTATCTTTCCTGGACTACATTTTGTGTAAGGTTATATGTGAGTATAATGAGGTGTTCGACACTGAAATGAAATGACCAAGTTATATTTTGTAACTTTCAAACGGTTATCAATCGAAGTCAGTGTATAATGAAAAAAAACTTACAAATGTCCATGTACTTTTGTGTTGACTCACTTTATTAATATTCATATTATTGAATAGTACTATTACTTAATAACAAACATACTTTATTTACTTACTTGTAATTTATAATTCATTGCTTGATTCATTTCGATCCGTTGACTTATTGCATACTCCGCTTCTTGACTACTACCAGTGAAACGTAAATCTAAATGAATCAGAGATGAATTCTGATCCATTCCATCTTGAAGCTTTTTACTGCCAACCTGATGTTGAAAAACAGTGAAGAAATCATTGAAAATCATAGTCAGATGGTTTTTTTGTAAAAATGACACCATCTCTGTATTAATTAAATAAAGATCAAACAAGAAAATGAAGGACTGACTGAGTTGAGCAAGTGATAGCTCATTTACAAATAGAGACGATGTTAATAAATACACTGTATAGTTTATTTAAGTGTTTCATGAAGATTGATTTAATCTATGGATTGTATTAGTCACAGATTGATCTCCATTCGGGTTACCAACGGAAAATAAAAAACACTGAGTAGCTATTTCTTCCTACTGCTCACCCACAATTTAATCAGAAAACAAAATCAGGACTCTTAGATATTTAATAGTTGAATTCTTGAGTCGACTAAGGCTAGACCATCATGGAAAACCTAGAAGCACAGGATAACCATTTCATCCTAGTATATGACTCCTCAGTAATGTGCATTCACGATCTCGCGCGCGAACGCTCAACCTCTGAACCACTGATCCGGCATCCAACGGTGTTAATATCTAACTCCAACCAATCCACAAATTGCACCACCACCCATGATAAACGCCAAACTGTTATAACCACTGGTTCAATTTGTGATATAGTCCGACTTCAAAATATTCCCAAACATATAGTAAGAAATCGTGATTGGTGGATTTCAGGCATGCAGAGAGTAATACAGTTATCAATAATGGTCATGTCATGTCATAAATTGACTTAAATTGAAATTGGGCCACTGGATATACAACTAATGGATCTAATAGTTATTTATTTGTTATAAACTTGAAGGTCCTGGGTTTAATTACTAGTGGAGTCATGCATCTTTATATCCATGGAGTCCCGTATTGATTTTTGCTAGTATCCCCTATTGAAATCGATCTACAATGAATTAAACCTTAAGAATAATCAATATTTTAGACCGAAAACGCATTTAGAACTTTACTATTATCAACTTCTAGTCTCTATAACTAGTTTTTGTGTAATTTCATTCTTGATGCATTACTAATTATAATCGAGCGTATTAACTAATACATATTTTCAGAATGGGTTTTGTGGAGATTTTAGAAATTTCACAGATTGAAATCATGAGTCAGTTGAAGCTAGACCACCATTGAAAACCTGGAAGCACTGGACGGCCGTTTCATCCTAGTATGGGACTCCTCAGCAGTGCGCATCCACGACCCCGCACCACGCGGGGCTCGAACCCAGGACCTA